AAATGCTAAGAATAGTTTTCATATTTTTAAATAGTGAAGAAAAAATGAAAAGAAGAATATTTTATAACACATAAAATTTATGAAATTCTAGTTTCAGTGTTCACAAATAGTTTCATTAGAACACATCCACACTCATTCATTACACATTGTCTATGGCTGCTTTTATGTTACAATGCAGAGTTGAGTAGCTATGACAGACTTTATTGGCCTGGCAAAGCCATGGATATTTACTATCTGGTCCTTTACAGAAAAACATTTGCCAGTCCTTGAGTTACCGAAGAGTACACAGACTGAACTTAGTCTTCTACCTCCTGAGTATATTATTTTGCTTCATAATGTACACATATTAATATATTAAACATATTCTTTTCTACTTACCCAACATTATTTTAGAAGAATAAAGAAATAATTTTTAAAGAAAATCTGAAAAAAATAATCTTTTCAAAATAAACAACTTACTGTTGAAGAATTAATTTACATATAGGATACTCTATAACAAAGATCGGTAAACTATATAGTCAACAGGTCACATCTAGCCTGCTGCCTGATTTCCAAAATTAAGCTTTGGTAGAGCACAGCTACACCCATTTGTTTAGCCTTTCACTAGTATAGCAGAGATAAGTAGTTGCATAAGACACCAAATGGTTTAAATGCTTAAAATATTTACTATTTGGTCTTTTACAGAAAAGATTTACCTATCCCTGTTCTATAACATTATCATTTCTACAAGTTTCACTTTAATTAAAGCAAACATTAATATGTAATTTTAAAAACAAACAACAATTTTAGTAAAATAGCTAAAAGCATAATTCTGAAAGACACACAGGGCTTACATCCTGCTTCTGGGCATACCTTCTGGATCTTGGCAAAGTACTAATGACTCTGGGCCAGTTTTAAAACCAGTAACATTAAAATAAAAATCCCCACTCCAGAGAACTACTGTCAGGATTAGATTCTCAGTAATTTTAATTAACAATGGGCAGAGCAAAAAACAAAAAACAACCAACCAACCAAAAAACCACTACCGAAATAGTTGGCTTCAAGTCTTCCTTGTTAGAGTTTCCCTAATCTGCATTTTTTAAAAATTTCAGCTACCTGTACAGGAAAAATTTTGAATTCATATCAAAGCACAAGAATTATTTTGAAATCCATGATTTCTTTAAACCAAAATTCAACCTACAAACCATTTATGTTCCAAATGCTTATTCACAGGTTAGAGACTTCATTTTGCCATAGAAACCATATTCTAATTCATGTGGTTTACCAAAGCAGTGAATAAAATAAACTGATCAAATAATTTAATGACAGTAGTTTGCCAATTCCATAGGGTTAATCCTTAAAACTCAGAATTTAATCTTAACTGTTTGGGCTTGTTTATTTATAATGTGATATTAAAAAGTATCACAAAGGATATCTTGGGTTTAAGATCTGAATCTGTTATAACGTCTTTAAGACTGCATTTCTTAATTAGTAAAATGAAGATTTTATTAGTGGTTATAAGGACAAGCCACAGTGTAAATATTAATACATGTATATTTTCAAATTATTGAAATAAATTGTATTAATATTTATCAGTGGAAAAATGTTATGTGCTGCTTTAAATCACTAATGTTGACATTTTTTTTCCTTGAAGATTTAGTGTCATTATCATAAACATCCATTATTATATTATGCTACAGGTATAGCTGTTACATGAAGATCTCAACCATTACCATGTTGAATTGAATACCAAAATTTGCCACAGCCCAAAAACATGCACTAATGGCCATATAAGCATTAGTGACCACTATAAAATTAGTTCCCACATATACCTCCATTCCACTTAATATCACCTTCTATTCATACTCATCACATCAAGGTTTCTGTTGGCCAATCTTTCCTTGATTGTAGGATGTTATAAGTATCTGACAATATAATGCATGTCTAATTCAAATTGATAAGTAAAATTGAAAATCTAGCACAAAATGAAGGATTTCATGATAATAATGACAGTAATATTTGAAAACTGTTCAAATCACATGCAAAGCCATCTACAAATACGAGAATTACATAAGTTAATAACTGAATAAAAAAAGGAACCACAAAGAATTACGAGATGCACCAGAATTTTCAGGGTATCAAAATATTAAGAAATGCTCTTTGGAAAACTGCTGAAGTCACTGCCATTTTTGTAAAAAATGGCTCTCTTATATTATACATCTATAAAAGTAAAACACGAAGTGAAGGTTGTACCATCTTTCATCAGTTCTAACATGAACATTTTTTACATTTTAACGTCATCTCTGAAATGGGGGTGGGTGCATTTTATTATCAATGGCATCTTACAATCACTGTTAGCCAGGCAGTAGTTGCAACACAGGTGTTATTGCCTAAGTAAATATGAACTTTTGTTGTTGTTGTCGTTGTGTGTGTGTGTGTGTGTGACAACTGGACAACTGTAGCCCTTTAAATTTTCAATCAAAAAATCCCTGAGAAGTTATTTCAAGAAGAAATACAGGCTCTTTGAAGTCCAGCAGGAAGACAAAAAAAAAAAAAAAAAAGAAATACAGGCCCTGGTAGCTGTTGAAAACCTTCCACATACATTCAGATGAAGGCAAGAAAGTACTAGCACTAAACCTTGCAGAAAGGTGTTGACTCCCTAAGAGAAAATCCCAGAGACAAATTGAAGTACTCTTTTAAGAAATGTTGAAATCTTAATGGACTTGGCACAGAGGATATTATTATGTGAGACTACATCAATGACTCTGATTTAAAAAAAAAAGATTGGAAAGTCAAGTTATAAATGTGAAGTAGATTTAGGAATGAATACTTTTATCAATTTATTTCATTCATTGTTTCCTTTTTATGGATTCACAGTATTAAAAAATAAATCTAAAAGAGGTATTTCATCAAGTATAAAAATAAAAAGGTTAAGTGATAAAAAGCACTGTATCATAAGTTTGCAACATTTTCTTCTTCTAGTCATATACAAAGTAATAATGTACCTTACAGTCACATCTTGAATTTGATAAAATACAGATAGTATTTGTTATATAATTCTAACAGAAAAATTATAATCCTCTCCAAATTAATAACTTTTACAGTTAAAATAGTTGCAAATAAAACCAAAATTCTGATATTTAAGATAAAGCAAATTTAAATTACATTTTTTCAAGTTAAAATCCCAATTAAACCTTTTCTTCAGTCTTGAGCCCAGGAATTTGGGTTGCATATATATACATATATACGTACATATACATATATATACACATATATACACATATACATACACATAAACAGAGTAACAAATTTTATGTTATGTGGATTTTATTATATACCTTTTTTTCCTAGATCACAGACCTAAAGGTGAAAATTAAAACCACAAAAAATTTAGAAAAACTAAAAAATCTTCATGACTCTTTGACAGGCAGAACTCTTAGAGATGATGATAAAAGCATAACTCATAAACAACAAAAAAATTGAGAAACTGAACTTTATCAAAGTTAAAAGCCTTTTTAAAAAAAATCAAGCTAAACAAACACATTACCATATGACCCAGCAAACCCATGCTTTCATGACAGCAACAAAGAAAATAAAATACCTAGGAATATATTTAACCAAGGAGGTGAAAGATCTCTACCAAGAAAACTATGAATCACTGAGGAAGAAAACTGCAGATGATGTAAACAAATGGCAAAACATATCATGCTCATGGATCAGCAGAATCAACACTGTTAAAATGTTCATACTACTCAATGTGATCTACAGATTCAACGCAACCCCCATCAAAATACCAACATCATTTTTCACAGATCTAGAAAAAATAATTCTATGCTTCGTTCAGAACCAGAAAAGAGCCCAAACAGCCAAAGCATCCTTAAGCAAAGGGAACAAATCTGGAGGCATCACTTTACCAGACTTTAAACTATACTACAAGGCTGTAGTAACCAAAATAGCATGTTACTGGCACAAAAATAGAGACATAGACCAATGGAACAAAATAGAAAACCCAGATATAAAACCATCCACATATTACCATCTGATCTTTCACAAAGTAGACAGCAATATACATACACTGGGGAATAGAATCCCCATCCAATAAATGGTGCTGGGAAAATTAGATAACCATATGTAGAAGACTGAAACGGGATTTATAACCCTCACCACTCACAAAAATTAATTCAAGATGGATCACAGACTTAAACCTGAGACATGAAACCATAAAAATTTTAGAAAAAATGTTGGAAAAACTCTTCCAGATATTGGCCTGGCAAAGAATTTATGAAGAAGACCCCAAGGGCAATCACAGCAACAGCAAAAATAAATAAATGGGATTTGATTAAATTACAGTGCTTCTGCACAGCCAAGGAAACAATCAACAGAGCAAATAGATAACCTACAGAATGGGAGAAAATATTTGCATGCCATATATATACAATAAAGGGCTAATAACCAGAATCTACAAAAAAAATCAAGCAAATCAGCAGGAAAAAATCAAACAACTCTCTTAAAAAGTGGGCAAATGACATGAACAGAAGCTTTTCAAAATAAGATAGACTGATGGCCTATAAATATATGAAAAAATGCTCAATGCCACTTATTATCAGAGAAAGGAAAATGAAAACCACAATGAGATGTCACCTAACCCCAGTGATAATGGCTTTTATCAAAAAGTCCCAAAATAATAGATGCTGATGTGGATGCAGACAGAAAGGAACACTTACACACTGTTTGTGGGACTGCAAACTAGTGCAACCTCTATGGAAAATAGTATGCAGGTTCCTCAAAGAATAAAAGTAGACCTACCATTTGATCCAACAACCCCCTACTGGGTATTTACCCAAAGGAAAAAATGTCATTTTATCAAAAAGACACCTGCACTAGAATGTTTATTGCAGCACAATTCACAATCACAAAGATGTGGAATCAACCCAAGTGCCCATCAATTCATGAATGGATTAATAAAATGTGGTATATATATACCATGGAGTACTACTCAGCCATAAAAAATGAATTAATACCTTTTGCAACAATCTGGATGGAACTGGAGACCACTCTCCTAAGTGAAGTATCTAAAAAATGGAAAAACAAACACCACATGAACTCACTATGCAATTGGAACTAACCAATCAGCATTCATGTGCATAGATGGAAGTAAAACTCAACGGAAATCATGCAGGTGGGAGGGGAGAGAAGGGGACGGACGAAACCATACCTAACGGGTACAACGTACACTACCTGGGTGATGGGCACACTTACAACTTTGATTCAAGCAATACAAAAGCAATCCATGTAACCAAAACATTTGTACCCCCATAATATTCTGAAATTTAAAAATAGATAAATACATTTATTAAAAAAGTAATAAAATGCAAACTTATTAAAAAATACTTCCCTTCATAACAAAAACCTGTAAATGAATGACCAAGGCAGCTCTATTCATAAGTACCAAAAACTGGAAACAACCCAAATGTCTTTGATGGGTGAATGGACAAACTGTAGAGCATCCATACAATGGAATACTACTTACTCAGCAACAAAGAGGAGCAAGCTATTAATATTTACATGTGCAACAACTTTCATGAATATCCTTATGGTGCAGGAAAGAAGCTAGTCACAAAAGATTAAGAACTATTATATACAACATCCTTGACGCTACGATTTTTTGACTTTACTAAGGTGCGAAGGTGATACGCATTCAGTAGAAAACATACCTCGGGTACCCACACAACCATTTTGTTTTTCACTTTCAGCAGAGCATTTAATACATTACATGAGATATTCAACACTTTATTATGAAATAGGCTTTGTGCTAGATATGTGCCCAGCTGTCGGCTACTGTAAGTGTTCTGAGCATGTTTAGGGCAGGCTAGGCTAAGCTGTCATGTGCAGTAGGTTAGGTGCAATAAATGTTTCAACTACATGTTATTTTCAACTTATGATGGATTTATTGAAATATAACTCCATCATAAGTCAAAGAGCATCTGCATTATACATAAATACAATTTGTAAGACATTCTGGACAAAATGAAAGACAAAATGGTTGCCACAGCGTTAGGGGTAAGGGTAGAGTACGACTCTAGAAAGACAGTATGAGAGAGTTTTAGGGGGATGGAATTGTACTGGAACTTGACTGTGGTGGTGGTTACTTAAATTTACACATGTGTTAAAATTTATAGAACTGGAAAAGAAAAATAAAGTTAATCTTACTGTATGATAATTTAAAAAATAAAAAGAAATGTTCAAAACATAAGGTGCCAATGCATCACCTAGGAAACGGCAACTATAAGGCAGCTAGATAGATGGCACAGAAGTTAGGAAAGTAGTTTGAGTTACTGATAGAGATTTTCAAGTCATGTGGTAGAATTATCAGTGAGATCACCCCAGGATATTATTTACATTGAGAAAATAACAAGGACAGAACCCCAAAGAATATCAGTAGTTAAAGACTAAGAAGAAGAAAAGAATCCCACAGAAGGTATTAAGAAATTATAGTTAAAGAATTAAAGGGTAAACCAAGAGACTATGGTATCACAGAAAGAAGAAAGAAATTTTGCAGTAGTAGCTCATGATCAAATGCCACAGAAAGGTCAAGTAAGATGAATTTAAAATTGTTTATTCAAGAATGCCCACTTCTGGCACTTTTACTCAACAAAAATACTGAAAGTCCTAGCCATAGCAATCAGGCAAGAGAAAGAAAGAAATAAAGGGCAACCAAATTGGAAAAGAAGAAGTCAAACTATCCCTGTTTGCCGACGATATGATCTTATACCTAGAAAACCCTGAAGACTCCTCCAAAAGACTCCTAGAATAAATGAGTTCAGTAAAGTCTCAGGTTACAGAAATCAATGTACACAAATCAGTAGCAGTCTTATACACTAATAACACACAGGGTGAGAATCAACTCAAGAATGCAATCCCACTTATAATAGCTGCAAAGAAAAGAAAATACCCCATCATTAAGGAAAGCACTCACGCTTAAAGATCCAGTGAGAACCTGAGCCAGGTTAATGAAAAAAAAAAAAAAAAACAACTGAGAAATAATCAAGTGAAATCTACAACATCAAGGATAGAAAACAGTCCTAAGAGCTAACAGAAAGGAAAAAGCTTCCTTAAAAAGGAACATGATCCAGAACATCACGTCTCATTAGCAACAATAAAAGTAGGGAGATGATAAAGCAGAATCTTCAAAGAAAATGAACTTCAAACTTAGATTTCTTTATCCAGCCAAATTATCATTCATAAGTTCATCCCTTGATGAACTAACAGGGACCAGATGTACCCTCCCACCTTAAACAACTAAAAGTCCGAACAAAATATGTAAAATAATAGTTTTCAAACAGTGAACAACAAGCAGACAGGTCAGCGACCCCTGAGAAAGGGAAAGAAGGGAGGTGAGCCCAGACACTGACCAACGTGACGGCTGGCAAGTCCCTGGACTGCAGAACAGAGAAGGCGCCCGAACACCTGGCAGTCTCCCCAAGTTGGGGAAACAGCATTTGGAGCTTGGAAAGTTGAAGAACACTAGAATTTGCAGGTCAGAGAAGCAAAGAAGGAAGAGCTCACAGAGAAAGAATGCTCAAGCTCTGGAGAGAGTTCCTGGAGTCTCCTGCTGATTGACAAATAGCATACTGTCAATAGTATCTGAGGTTCAATCAAGGCTGCAAAAGTTGCATGTTTCCAATATCCTGCAAAGCAATAAAGCACTGGGTATTCAAAACAGCACTGCCACAGCAGTGGGGGCAAATTAGTACTGAAGACCATTCTAACCCTGCCTAGCAAAGCTTAAAAGTTAGCCTTGAAATACTCACACTATTTCCAAGCAACTTAACTGCATCCCAGAATAAAGACCCAAAATATTTTAAAAATACCAAAAACTGCAAGCTAAAATACACAATACCTGTTATGCAATCACAAATTATCAGACATATAAAGGAGTAGGAAAAGATGACCCTAATGAAGAAAAAAATCAATCAGCAAACAGAGACTTGGAAATGACAAAGATGACAGAATTAGTATTAATGGGTAAGGTTAAAACAGCTATTATAATTACATTCCATTTGTTCAAGAAGGTAGGGAAAAGCATAAATATTACACAGAGAGACGTGGAAGATATAGAAACAACCCAAATGAACTTTAAGAGATAAAAAATACAATATTTGAGATGAAAAATATACAAAATCTAGATGGTATTAACAGATTAGACACAGTAGAAGAAAAGATTAATGCACTTGAAGACACAGCAATAGAAATGATCCAAAATGAAACACAGAGAGAGGAAATAATGACTGGAAAAAAATAATAAAGAGCATCAGTGAGCAGCTGGGAAAGCAGTAAGTGGTCTAATGTATGTGTACTGGAGTCCTAGAAGAAGAAGGGAAGAGGAAACAGAAAAAAGTTTCTGAAGAAATATGAATGAAATTTTTCCAAATTTGATGAAAATTATACACCCACAGATCTAAAAAGCTCACTAAACTACCCTGTATGAAATGACCATGAAGAAAGCTACACAGGCCACAATGTAATCAAAATCAAATTTCTTCCAGCAATAAAGAGAAAATTTTAAAAGCAGTCAGAGAAAAGACACATTACATACAGAGGAAAAAGAGTGACCACAGACTTGTCAGAAAAGGGCATGCTAGAAGATAACTGGAGAGCCATCTTCAAAGCACAAAGCACTGAGAGAAAAAAACCTTTCAACATATAATACTATACCTAGCACCAATATTTGTCAAAAACAAACACAAAATACTTTCCAGACATACAAATGCTTATCAAATTCACTAGCAGATCACAACTACAAATCATCACTCAAGCATGAGGACAAAATAAGGGCATTTTCCAACAAATCTTTGAAAATTTCTCTCCAAAAGAGTTACCAAAGGATATTCTCCAGCATGAAGAAAAGTAAACTGAGGGGACAATAGTAGGATGCAAGGAATAATGTTGAGAAAATAAATCAGTAAATCTTTTTAAGTCCAATAATTGCTTACAAATATTTTAAAGAAAAATTTGTAACCAAAATTTCAGGTGCCATTAACATGAAAGATATGGAGAAGGAAAAAGACAGGATGTTCTTTTCTACTATCTAGAGGAAGTATACAAATACAAATTAATTTCAGATAGGAGAAAAACAAACTGAAGTCTGTGTGTTAAAAATATAAAGGGGAACCATTAAAAAATTTAACTATGTTTCTATGACATTATTTCAAAGGAAAAATATCCTACATTGAATAACTACTTAACTCACAAAGATACCACTTATGAACTTATAATAGGTAAGTAATAAGTCTAATGAAGATATATTACCATCTAATCGACCTATTTTGTATTTACATACATGTTTTGTATGTAAGCATTGACGCTTCATGGGGTGCTGGGCTGACAGAAACAAACATCAGCTGTTCTGTGGACAAAAGGTAAAAAGGCATTTGGGTGCTTCTACAAGTCAAAACCAGTTTAACTATTGAAATGACTATCTAAAAACTGAATATTTTCTGGGATACATGATTTATTAATAGTTAATTGGCATAGAGGCTTTAATATTTGTTTCTAATTACATTAAATGTATAGTTACACATGTCTATACATGTGAACAAAGATATAGTTAGTTACACATACACTTATCCAAATACCTATTTCCCCTTTCTCTTCTAAAATTCTTTGCTATTTAAAAATATTTAAAACTAAAAGATTATTGGGGGGAAAAAAGCCTCAGCAATGTAAGAACTTATTTCTTTAATATGAATATTAGGCTTGTTATATCCATTTCTACTCTTTTTAAACTAACAGCTATGAACTTAACTCCCAATTAACCAAAGAAACAGTAGAATTCTACCCTTGGTATAAAAGAGATAGCAGAAGAGAGGTTAAATAAGATATTCAACTTTTTGGGTTTATTTTTTCTTAAGAGATAGGGTATCACTCTGTTGCCCACATCACAGCTCACTGCAAACTTGAACTCCTGGCCTCAAGCAATCTCCTCTCACCTTGGCGTCCCAAAGTGTTGGGATTACAGGAGTGAGCTACTGCATCAGGCCCAAGACATATGACTTTATAGCCTGTGGATGACTTTTCAGTTATCCTTATTTCCTATTATTATGCACAGATTGTAAGATTACAATTCCTTTTATTCATACTTACCTTAACACAGACCTTGATTTGGAATACTAATAAATTCAAAATCTCAAACAAACAAAAAAATCATACCACGTGTCCTTCGGCTCGAGCTTTATTCTGCATAGCTTCCCGTTTTCGCTGTAGGAACTCTTCCACTTGTTTAGCTCTTTCTATAGTTAGCTGCCCTTTTTGCCTAATGTGGACAAATTGCAAAGTTAGTAACTGTGAACAATACATATTCCAAGAAGTTAAAATTTTACTTATTCTAAATACTTTTTCCATTGCAGAATATGAAGAAAAGCTGACATGAAATATAAACTTTCTCTTTAATGAACAAATCACAACATATATGTCGATATCTACTGCCTAAATCACATTCTTTACTATTTTAAATAAAAGTAAAATCTATAATTTTATTCCAAGTCTTAACAAGAAGGTTTCTTTTACATTTGTTTGATCTATTCTACTTATAGACACATAAAATTGTTTTAGACTATACTTAGTTATGGAAAAATCTCAATAGTTTCCAAGTTTATTTCAGAACTCTGTATCAAATACAATGAGAATTTTTTCTTCAGTATTGAGGTCAAATGAAAGTAGGATAATAGCAATTTCAAAACTGAACAAAAAGAATGAAAGGTTTACTTAAGTGTGAGTTTTAAAAAACACAGTAAGAAGCTATGTCTGAATTCCCTGAATATCACAGCTATAATAGTAAAAAGTAAAATGGTTGGGTTAGGGAAAAATTCAAAGCAGTTATTTGTTTTAATCTTTTCCAATTTAACTATTATGTCCTCCTCTGACAATTATGAAACAATGTAAACATATTAAGCTTAGATTACAAATAAAAAATATCAATTACAAACATTTATTGGGCATCTCCTATATGCTGCAGTATATCCACTATACATTTAGCAGGCATGCTAAGTTTGGAAGATAAAAAAATAAATAAAACCCAGCCCCAGTAATCAGAGAACTCATAGCACAGCATCAATTGCAGTTAATTGTGGAGGTAAGGAAAAAAACTTCCTACAGGCTCTCTTTGGCATCATAACTAAAATAGGGTCTCAAAAATACATGAAATAATGCCTTTTCTTTTAGTAGGATTTAAACATTTCTAATTTTCATACCCCAAATAATCAAATCTTTTACATTTTTTGGCAACAATGAAACACATAAAATATTTTAAATATGAAATTAAGCTGGCCGGGTGCAGTGGCTCACGCCTGTAATCCTAGCACTCTGTGAGGCCAAGGCGGGATGACTGCTCAAGGTCAGGAGTTCAAAACCAACCTGGGCAAGAGCGAGACCTCGTCTCTACTAAAAATAGAAAGAAACTAATTGGCCAACTGAAAATATATAGAAAAAATTAGCCGGGCATGGTGGCGCGTGCCTGTAGTCCCAAGCTACTCGGGAGGCTGAGGCAGAAGGATCACTTGAGCCCAGGAGTTTGAGGTTGCTGTGCGCTAGGCTGATGCCACGGCACTCTAGCCGGGGTAACAGAGTGAGACCCTACCTCAGAAAAAAAAACAAAACTTAAAATCTTTTTTTTTTTTTGAGACAGAGTCTTGCTTTGTTGCCCCGGCTAGAGTGAGTGCCGTGGTGTCAGCCTAGCTCACAGCAACCTCAGACTCCTGGGCTCAAGTGATCCTGCTGCCTCAGCCTCCCAAGTAGCTGAGACTACAGGCATGCGCCACCATGCCCGGCTAATTTTTTCTATATATATTAGTTGGCCAATTAATTTCTTTCTATTTATAGTAGAGATGGGGTCTCAGTTTTGCTCAGGCTGGTTTCGAACTCCTGACCTCGAGGAATCCACCTGCCTCGGCCTCCCAGAGTGCTAGGATTACAGGCGTGAGCCACCGCACCCGGCCTTAAAATCTATTCTATTAGGTCATTAGAGGTGGAGGAGCGTTGTCTTGCAAGAGGATTGTCCTGTCTCTATGGACCAATCTTAGCTGTTTATTCACAAGCATCCTCATCATGCAGTCCAACTTGTTGAAGGAGACATCTGCTGTAATCAATTCATCAGGTATCGTGAAACTGTAGTGGATAACAGTGCTGGACCACCAAAGAGACACCATTAGCTTTTTTTCATGAATATTTGGTTTTGGACTGTGTTTCGGCACTCGATCTTTATCTAAGCATTTTGTGGAATGCTTGAGACTGCCAAAAAGAATCCATTTTTCATCCCGCGAAACAAAACAGTGTAGAAATGGTTCACTTTTATGTCATGACAGAAAAGACAGGCAAGCTTTGAGACGATTTCTCTTCTGATGCTCCTTTAATTCATGCAGTACCTACCTATCCAGCTTCTTTACCTTGCCATTTTTTTTTCAAATGGTCCAATGTTGTTGGAACAGTAACGGCAAACCTTGCTGCTAATTCATGCATGGGTTGACGATGGATTCACTTCCACTACAGCTTTCGGCTCATCATTATTCACTTCAAGTAGCCCACGTGGCTCATTTTCAAGATTAAAATCACCAGAACAGAACTTCTCAAACCATCAATATACTGTGTGTTCATTAGCCACATCCTTCCCAAACACTTCGTTGATATTTCAAGCTGTCTGTGCAGCATTGGTTCCATGACGGCACTCATATTCAAAAATAACAGCAGTCATATTATGCACTGTATAATTCTGAGACTGATGAGGTATATTCAGTCTGAATGCAATATATCCCCTGCATATATCAAGTTAGGGCTGTATCCCAATCTGTGATAGCCTCGTTCCCACAGGGCTGGGCCTGAGAAGGGCAAATTAACTTTCAGGTGTGATGCTCACACATGTCCTATGAAACTGTATGGCTACAAATATGGTTCTTTTTGAGGGTCCTGGAAGCTGACACCATCATCTGCAATGAGATAAAATAGCTGATCTCTCTGCTGTGTATCTTGACTACACTGACTTTCTTTTCTAACCTTTGTAGAAATAAAATATGTTTGACTTCCCATCCTAAACTGGTCTGAGTCCAGTGTTTATAAGCCTGAACCTCCAATTTGCATATGTTAATATAGCAGTTGCAAAGAATTGTTTTACTAAGAACTTGGTCCTATGTACAACAGCTCTGATTTATAGATTTTCACACCATTTATGCATATAAGTACATTTACATTATTGGCTGCTTTCAAACACAATCTTAAAACCTGTTGTGATTTTATTTAACACTATTTCTTTCTTCCTTTCATTTATTAAACAAATATTTATTGAGTGTCAACTATTTGCCACATTATATCTCTCTAAAGATGAAAAAAACGGAGTTCCAAGAAGGCAAGGATAATTCAACATAGGAAAATCAATCAGAGTAATATATGATACGAAAACAATTTTAACATGGGAAATATGGGAACAAAGTTAAATTTAAAAAGATATAAATTTGTACTTATGACTTAATTTCCACTATCTATGAAAAAATATGTAAAAAAGAATGCAAGAAAATACACAGTGCTGCCTCTGTAGGGATTAGGAATTATTTCCCTTCCTGTGTCCTAATATTCTCTTATACATTCCAATTTTTCTAAAACTAACCTATATCACTTCTCAAGCAGAAAAATAAGACAAAAAAGCTTCTTGTGACTTTCCTTCAAGTTTTCTTTTTTCCTGGGCAAACAAGATAAAAAAGGTATGAACATGTGATCACAAAGCCTACCGTGTTTTCCTGAAAATAAGACCTACCCATAAGAAAAGCCCTAGCAGGATTTCTAAGCATTTGTGCAATATAAGCCCTAACCCTGAAAATAAGACCTAGTGATGGGCGTGGCTACACAGTGTATCTGCACAACCCATGCATTTCCTCGCAGAACTGTCTGCCCCATTGTGACAGGTACTATCCCAGAGGTGACCGGAAAGGTATGGGCAGCCCCACCACCAAGGTTGGCTCCCCCCTGTCAGGTCCCGGCCATCCTGTGTGTGCTGCAAGCTGAGGCTTTGAGGTGAAAATAACACATCCCCTGAAAATAAGCCCTAGGGTGTCTTCTTAAAGAAAAATAAATATAAGACCCTGTCTTATTTTCGGGGAGACACAGTAGGTGATAGGACAATGACAAGGTAGTTAGCTGCTGATATTTAAAACAGAAGGCCGGGCGCTGTGGCTCACGCCTGTAATCCTAGCTCTCTGGGAGGCTGAGGCGGGCGGATTGCTCAAGGTCAGGAGTTCAAAGCCAGCCTGAGCAAGAGCGAGACCCCGTCTCTACTATAAATAGACAGAAATTAATTGGTCAACTAATATATATAAAAAATTAGCCAGGCATGGTGGCGCATGCCTGTAGTCCCAGCTACTCGGGAGGCTGAGGCAGTAGGATCGCTTGAGCCCAGGAGGTTGAGGTTGCTGTGAGCTAGGCTGACGCCACGGCACTCACTCTAGCCTGGACAACAAAGCGAGACTCTGGCTCAAAAAAAAAAAAAAAACAAAAAAAACAGAAATACATGAGCATTCTTGAATTCAGCAAAGGAACACTATTAAAAGGGAATTTGAGGGTAAGAAGAAGAAAAAAAAGATTAAATGTCTTTGCATAAAGCAAAACATTAAGGGGCAAAGACAAGTAGTTTAAGTTGGATGGAATAGTGAAAGTTGTTGATCCATGAAGGTGGAAAAGAATTACAGTATTTATATAAATGTAAGACAGTGAGTACTAGTAATATGGGATTAGGGGAATCTCATACACTTAGTAGTTAAATCATTTCCTTTCAAATGATTACCAGCTATAAGATCATTTTTATTCTTATAGCAAAATATAATTACCCTAGTTTAAAGGCTTTTCTAGTATTTTCCTGTTTCATTTATAAGAAATTTCAGGAAGAAACATTCTTTTTAATATGTTTCAGTCTGCTAATTTATGAAATTCTCTTTTCCTAACTTAACCTATTGAAGTATACTCCACAATGATAAGAACGAATAAATTTGACTTCTCAATATTAAACTATGAAATCAACACACGTTTTTTAAAAAGCTATAAAGCTACCCTGAGTAGACAGAAGCATTACCATATGAAGCCAATATTACCCTCTTATTACTATGAGGCCAGTGTTACCCTAATACCAAAATCAGACACAAAGACATTACAAGGAAAAAAAAAAAAAAAACTACACACCTATATCTTTCTCATGAATAAAAATACAAAAATCCTCAACAAAATATCAGCAAATCAAATCCAACAATGTATAAATAGAATTGTACATCACGACCAAGCAGGATTTCTCAGGTATGCAAGGCTGTTCAACAGATAAAAATTGACTAATGTAATCCATCACATGGACAAGTTAAAGAGGAAAAAAACCACAAAATCATATCAATAGATACAAATGAAAAGCACTTGATAAAATCCAACACTCATTCATAATAAAAAAAATCTCAGAAAACAAGAATATTGGGGAACTTCCACAAATTCATAAAGAAGATCTACAAAAAACTTAAACCTAACATCATACTTAATGGTGAGAAACTTGAAGCTTTCCTGCTAAGATCAGGCACAAGAAAAACATGGCCTTTCTTCGTACTGCTTTTCAGTAACATATCGGAAGTTCTACCTAATGCAATTAAGACAAGGAAAGAAAACATAAGGTATAATATATAAATTGGGAAGGAAGAAATCCAACTGGCTTTGTTCACAAATGACATTTTTGTCTATCTAGAAAATCCAAAAGAATCGACAAAAAAATTCCTGGAATTAATGTGATTATAGCAAGGTTGCAGGATACAAGGTTAATATACAAAAATGACTTGCTTTCCTATAAAATAAACAAGTGGAATTTGAAACTAAACACACATTATTGGCCGGGTGTTGTAGCTCACGCCTGTAATCCTAGCTTTCTGGGAGGCTAAGGCGGGAGGATAGCTGCAGCTCAGGGGTTCAATACCAGCTTGAGCACAGTGAGACACCATCTCTAGAGACAAGAAACAAAAAAAAGACACATACACACAAAAAATACATAAACCACAAAACCCAGCCAGGCACTGTGGCACATGCCTATAGTCACAGCTACCTAGAAGGCTGAGGCAGAAGAATCACTCACAGCCCAGGACCTGGAGCTTGTAGTGACTTAAATCACAGAGTGACACTCTGTCTCAACAAAGAAAACCAAAAACAAACAAACAAAAAAACACATTATCATTTACATTAGCACCCTCAAAAATGTTATATATAGCTATAAGTCTAACAGCATATGTATATACCTATATGAGAAAAACTACAAAACTCTAACGAAAGATAACAAAGTAAATAAATGGAGAGATATTCCAGGTCTGATAGGAAGTATAGGAAGACTTGTCAAGATGTCAGTTCTTCCCAAATTGATCTACAGATTCAGCACATTCCCAAAATCCCATCAAGTTATTTCACTGATATTGACAAACTGATTCTAAAGCATATAAGCAGAAGCAAAAGAACTAAAATCGTCAATTCAATATTGAAGCAGAACAAAGTTGGAGGACTGAAACTACCTGACTTCAAGACTTGCCATAAAGCTACTGTGATCAACACAGTGTGGTACTAGCTAAAGAATAGACATATAAATCAATGGAAAAGAATAGAGAGCTCACAAATAGACTCACAGAAATAGAGTCAACTGATCTTTGACAAAAGAGGAAAGGTAATTTAAAGAAGCAGTCTTTTCAAAAGTTGTTTGGAAAAACTGAATATCCACATGCAAAAAAATGAATCTAGATACAGACCTTATATCCTTCACAAAAATTGACTCAAAATGGATCACAGACATAAATGTAAAACACAAAACCACAAAATGGCTAGACAATAACATAAGAGAAAATATAAACGAACTTGGGGATGGTGATAACTTTTTGGATACAGCACCAAAAGCACAATACATGAAAGAAACAACGGACTTCTTTAAAAGTAAAAATTCTGCTCCGCGAAAGACAGTATCAAAGGAATAAGACTACAAGCCACAAAAAGGGGGGAAATATCTGCAAAAGCCATACCTGAAAAAGGACTGTCATCAAAGATATACAAAGAACACTTAAAACTCAACACTAAGAAAATAAACAACCTAACTTAAAAATGAGCAAAAGACCCAAATAGACAACTCACCACAAAAGATATACAGATGGCAAGAAGCACAGGAAAAGATGTTTGACATCATATCTCATTAGAGAATTACAATTAAAACGACGAGAAACCACTACACACCAGTTAGGATGGCCAAATCCAAACACTAAATGCTGACAACACTACATGCTGAAGAGGATGCAAAGCAACAGGAACTCTCACTCATGGCGGGTGGGAATGCAGAATGGGACAGCTACTCTGGAAGACAGTTTGATGGCTTCTTACAAAACTAAACACAGTCAAAATATGATCCAGCAATCATGCTCCTTGGCATTTACCTAAATAGTTGAAAACTTATGTCCACACAAAAATCAGAAGTGTGTTTATAGCAACTTTATTCATAACGGCCATCACCTGAAAGTAATCAACATGTCCTTCAGTAGGTTAATAGCTAAATAAAGTGTGATACAACCATACAATGCAATATTATTCAGTATTAACAAGAAATAAAGTATCAAACCATAAAAATATATGTAGGCACCTTAAAAGAATATTACTGAGAGAGGCCATTACTGAAAAGGCCACATACTGTATGACTGCAACTATAGGACATTCTGGAGAAAGTAAAACTATGAAGACAGTAATATGACCACTGCCTGCCAGAGGTCAGGAGGCAGGGAGGGATGAACAGGTGGAGCACAAAGGATTTTTAGGGCAGTGACATTATTTTGTATGGTATTACAATGGTAGATACATGTAATTATACATTTGTCAAAACTCATAGAATGTACAACACCAAGAGTAAACCCTAATGTAAACGATGGACTTTGGGTGATACTGATCAATGTGAGTTCACTGATTATAACAAATGGTACCACTCAAGGTGAGGATGTTGACAGGGAGGCTGTTCATGTGTGGTGAAGGAGTATACAGGAATACTGTACTGTCCACTCAATTTTGCTGTGGACCTAAAGTTGCTCTAAAAATAAAGTAAACCTACGATTAGCTTCATGTCTCAGGCTTCTGTATAAAATTTATAATGTATTCATAATGTTAATTTGCATTTATCTCAATAATTGATCTCTGCTCAATTATATATTAATCATCTTTTATAATGGGGGAGGGAATCATAAAGATTTTTATAACAGTTGATGATATTTTTCTATAAAATCAACACAAGGAAAAGACGGTATGACTAAATTGTCACAAAACCTCATCTGTTCTTCCATAACTCACCAGAATGTTTTATAAAATAGGAATGTCTAAGAAAACACATATACATACTTAAGAAAAAAAGAACTATGTAAGTTGTAGCCACTGACAGTTACCATTATTAACAGGAGAAAAGAAAAAATCTGATGAACAGAATCACAAAGAGGTATGAATCGGAGATGAATGTGAAGAGAAAACATGCTAAGACAACAAAGAGAAAAGTGGGCTTCTAAGTGATGAGGAAAAGGAAGACAAAACATGCTTTGGAGTTCTGCATAAAGTGTGATTCCATTTAAATTTATATTCTGATTTATTTTAAACAAGTGAATGAAACATATTACAACCATATGTTGGCTGAAAGTTATTTGTTCGTTTAAACAGTTACTTTCAGCCAAAACACATAAGTAAGACACAAAACTCAGGCTGAACCGAAGAGCTGCATGCTTGCATAAGGTAATCGAGGGCCAAATTGGCACCTGTGAAAACTATTGCATCCAGGAGGCAGAAAATATTCCATGTGAAGAATGGAGAAACATCTACAAAGTGTAGGTACTAAGCCATACATGACAAAAGACGAAATTACACACAGGATGAATTCATGGATCATTACACGTTCCAACCTGTTTGTACTGGCTTGTTTAGACACGGCCTTCAATCCTTTCAAAGTCTGTCTAATAGCATCAGCAGCAGGGAAATGGTGATGACCTGCAGCCCCAATAGGAAATCCTGGACGAACTCCAGGCAGAATTCCTCTGTAGATAAATATGCATAGTGACTTTCGTTACTGTCTCTGAAGCAACGCATAAGCAACTTCTGCAGAACACAGCCATACCTTTCTGGAAGCCCTCGACCGCGCAGTTCTCCTTTCCATTTGGCCTCATTCTCTTCTGCTCTCTGTTGCTGCATTTGATCAAAAATGGCATGGTAATGTTCATACTGTCCTCGAGGAGAAAAAGATGATGGAGCTATGGCCCCTCCACTGCCAATAAAGGGAGCCTGGGGATTAAACAAAAAGCTCTCGCTATTTATCTTGTAAGGTTTAAAGGCCTATACTATCTTCAAAAGAAAATTTCAATGCTTGATTTTTTAAAAGTAATTATGTAATATGAACATATTAATAAAGCCTAAAGCTGGGTAGTAGCCTTTAACAAAGACATTGTTTTGTGTGTAAAGTGATGAGAACAGAAGCCAGAGTACTGAGAGTAAAGGAGGAAAAGCTTCCAGATGATAACATCTTAAGGAAGAAGTCTGGATAAGAAAAGACAAAAAGAAAGACATTAGAATCAAATAAAGGAAACATCAATGTAACCCAATAAGATCAAATTTGTTTTAACATCTTGGCGACAGTAAGTTGCACACAATTTTATTAAAAAAGCATGATTTTTGAAAAATCAGTACAAGGCACTTTGGGAGGCTAGGTGTTTGTTTAAGACCAGCCTGGCCAACACAGCAAGACCCCTATCGCTACAAAAAACAAAAATAATTAGCCAGACATGGTAGCATGTGCCTATAGTCCCAGCTTCTCAGGAGGCTGAGGCAAGAGGATCCCTTGAGCTCTCAAATTCAAGGTTACAGTGAGCTATGATTGGGTCACTGCACTTCAGCCTGGGCAACAGAGCGAGACCTTGTTTAAAAAAAATCAGTACAAGATATATATAAATTGATTAAAGATGTTCAAATAATGAAATTAAAATTGCTATAAATAGGAAAGAAAAATAACTAGGCAAGAAACTCTATCAAGGGGTCCTCACAGACATCCTCAAAATGTTCATCTCAAGTCAAAAAACAGAATCCTGCTACATCTCCAAAGAAACCGGTTACTCTTTGGGTTTAATCTAGTGGTAATATCATTTTAACTTGAATTTGTTGTTTCTCTTCATCAAAAACACAGTATGTTAACATCTCTGAAGATGCTTATATTCAAAATAATGTTGAAAATAATTTATACAGTAAAATTCACCAATTATAAACAGATTGATGACTTTTTTTTGAGATGAGGTCTCAATAAGTTGCCCAGGCTGGTCTTGAACTCCTGGGCTCAAGGGATCCTCCCACCTCAGACTCCTGAGTAGCTGGGACATGCCTAGTTGATAGATTTTTGACAAACATATATACTCATGTAACCATCACCAAAATCAAAAGCATATCTATTACCCAGAGTGTTCCCTCATGCTCCTTTGTAATCAATGCTACTCACTGCCAGCAACTACTGATTTGTTTTCTGTTACTACAGATGAGATTTGCCTTTTCTATAACATCATATAAATGAAATCATAAATATGTACTCTTGTCTGGTTTCCATCCCTCAATAGCTTTTTGAGACTGTGCCACATTGTTGCATGTATAAACAGGCTATTCTTTTTTTATTGCTGAATAGCATTCCAATGTATTTTCAAATACAGATACACCTCTTATATATTATGATCACCATATGATTGAACTATTTACATGGAATATATGGTAATTTTTCTTAAAACCCATCCTTTTTTTTTTTTTTTTTTTTTTTGAGACAGAGTCTCGCTTGTTGCCCAGGCTAGGGTGAGTGCCGTGGCGTCAGCCTAGCTCACAGCAACCTCCAACTCCTGGACTCAAGCGACCCTCCTGTCTCAGTCTCCCGAGTAGCTGGGACTACAGGCATGCGCCACCATGCCTAGATAATTTTTTCTATATATATTTTTAGTTTTCCAGCTAATTTCTTTCTATTTTTGGTAGAGATGGGGTCTTGCTCTCACTCAGGCTAGTCTTGAATCCTGAGCTCAATCAATCTGCCCATCTCAGCCTCCCAGAGTGCTAAGATTATAGGCCTGAGCCACTTCACCTGGCCTTAAAACCTATTCTTAAGAGATGTATTAAAAATGGATAAAATAAAAAAGTCTGACTTTGTAGATATTAAATCATCAAAGATATTTATATTAAATATTTAAACTGTGAATAATATGCCCATTATTTAGAGGTATTAATAATAGTGTTAATATTGAAATATTTCACGTAATGTTTAGTTTTCGATTTATCTTTATTTTGTTTTGTTTTGTTTTTTTTTTTTGAGACAGAGTCTCGCTTTCTTGCCTAGGCTAGTGTGAGTGCCGTGGCGTCAGCCTAGCTCACAGCAACCTCAAACTCCTGGGCTCAAGCAATCCTACTGCCTCAGCCTCCCGAGTTGCTGGGACTACAGGCACGAGCCACCATGCCCGGCTAATTTTTTATATATATATATTAGTTGGCCAATTGATTTCTTTCTATTTTTATAGTAGAGACGGGGTCTCGCTCAGGCTGGTTTTGAACTCCTGACCTTGAGCAATCCGGCCCGCCTCGGCCTCCCAGAGTGCTAGGATTACAAGTGTGAGCCACCGCGCCCGGCCTTATCTTTATTTTGGGGCTCTCCTTAATTTGACTGACATTATACTGAGCTTCTGGGTCCTTACCAACTATGCAGAAATGAAACAGCCTAACAAGTTAAATATTTCAAACACAATGAGGAATAAGTATAAAAACTGAGACAGAATTTGCTTTAAATTATGGAAAATAAATTGTTTTTTTAATCTTCAACAGAAGTATTATGTAAGTCTACAAAGTGAAGCTGAAATCCATTAAGCACACAGTATCCAACTGATGAAAAAATTATCTTAATTAGTTATCAAAAACCATTGATAAAACTGAACTTTTAGGATTAAATATTGCTTTAAACATCATAGGAAAACATTCTATTACACAAAAGCCACATGCAAGGAGAGGAGAAAAAACTATCAAAAATGTCAACACTTATCATGGACTTGATACAAAATGCTGACAAGGTTTGAGGGCCCACATTTTGTCACTTTTTCACTTTCCAATCAGATAAGATATAGGGTTAGTTATTTTTAAAATGGTCTGATTTATTCCTGATCATTCAGAAGGCAGTAAGTTCCACTTAATAAGATAAAATTATATTACTAAAAACATTATATAAATCTACATTAACACAGAATTGGAAAAAGTTACTCTTACTGAATTATTGATATGTGCTATGAAAATTTCTGCATCTCAAGAGACTAAAAACAAATCTATAAATCTAGGGCAGAACATATATGTCTACATAAAACAAAACAAACTTTTATTCAAATCATAGCTTTTTTGGGGAAAAAACAAGTAGGCATTGCAATTAATGCAACCTGACAAATATCTATTGTATACCTAAATACCAAGATTAAATGAACATGAGCCTGGGATATTTATAGTTTAAAGATATGTTGATTAACAGTTGATTCAATGATACAAATTAAAATTATAATATAGAGCAATAATGGTGCATTTGTTTTCCATTGCTGGGTAACAAATTAGCACAAACTTAGCAGCTTAAAACAATACCCATTTATTCTTTCGGTTTCCCCGGCTCAGGAGTCTGTGTATATTTACTTGAGACTCCTGCTCAGGATCTCACCAGGCAGAATCCCAGGTGTTAGCCAGGGCTACAGTTCTCATCTGAGCCTCAGGAACTCTTCCAATTTCCCTGGCTACTGACAGAATTAATTTCCTTGTGGTGCTATGACTAAGGTCGCCATTTTCTTGCTAATTGGTCAGAGAACATTATCGGCATCTGGAGGCTCCCTACACCTTTTTTTGCCACATGAATGTTTACAGTCTTCCAGGCCAGCAGAAGTATGACTCTCTGGCTTCTATTTCCCTCCAGTCTGCTATGAGAGTCTTGTATGTTAAGATAATCATGAGAGTGACTGTCCCATCACCACCTGCCATATGACATAACCTACTCAAAGGAGCCATTATACCACAGTATTCATAGGTACCACTCACACGCAGGGGAGGAATGATACAAGGTGTAGACATGAGGGGTCGGGAGTCTTGGAAACCATCTTAGAATTTGGCCTACCACAGCTAGAGATGCGTTAAGGATGCTACATAAGCAAAAGAGGAAGCATAAGATTCAGACTGGCAGAACAAAGAAAGGAAAAAAGAACGACTATTTAGGGCCTTGCCATTCAAGTTCCAGGCACTGTGCTTAGAAAAAAAAATTAAATGAAGAAATTAAAGCTCAGAAAAGTAAACTCGCCAAAGGTTATACAGTCTGGAGCTACCCAAATGGAATGTTTGTATTAATGTATCCAGGTAAATGGTTACTTAGGTAGATGGATGGAGGTGGGAGAGAGTGTGAAGAGGGGAGGTGGGGTGCTATCAAGTAAAGAGAGGCGTAAGCGCAAAAACAGAGATGCACCAGGCTACATATAGCAAGGAAACTGCAAACGTGGTCTTTAGCTCAGCATGAGTATAGCATACAATGTGTGGTAGGGAACGGCTGGAGATGAACTTGGAGAGATTGGCAGGGACCAGATTAAGAAGGGTCTTCTGAGAACTTAATCTTTAAGGCTACATGAAACTACAGAAGAATTTTAAGCAGAGGTGTGACAAACTGTATTTAATCTTTAAAAGATTCCTCTGATAGGGACGGTGTATCACAGTTTTCACATAAAACTTTTAAAGCAATTTTAACAGTGTCACATATTAGTTATCAATACAAGTTATGTATCAAATCCATATAGGAAACCTAAGAATTCATAATACATGAAGAATTCTAGATAAAAATTAACTATATATCAAAAAAGAAAGAAAGAAAGAAAGAAACCCAGTTACATACATTTCAAAGAGCAAGGTGAAACCGGAGGAAAACAGCAGTGTCGCTACACTGGTATCCAATGCCTACCTTTACTTCACCACTGCCACCAGCACTTAGCACATTTCTCCATCCTTGCTCCCTGGCCCTATTTATCCTCTCCAACTTTTGGGGAAAAACAAACAAACAAACAAAAGACCATTTCAAGTATTTTATATAAAATACATGAAATACATTTAGCAATAAAATGGAAATCAGTGTACCCCTTTAAAAAGTATGTGTATGGGGAGGGGGAGGACTACAACACGGAAAAATGGATTATCCTCTTACCCTTTCCTTTTCTTGTCTTCTCATTTGTTCAGCCTTCATTAAATTAATAATCTGTTAACAATTTTAAAGACAAACTTCTTAGAATTCTTTAAACTATTATCATTTACAACTTGTCAAGAAAGAAAAACAAGACCAAAAAACTACCTGATCCTTTTGTTTCTTTTCTTTTTCAGTAAATTCCAACCTTCTATTTCTTGGTGCTTCCTTAAATAAAAGAAGAACATTTTTATCAATAATAATTTTTACTTTTTCTAGTTTTATCAGGAAAGTTAGTATACCACTGACAGAGTTATGCTCAGCGAGGTTAAAAAAAAAAGATATAGGTATTTGTTTGAAAGAAATAAGGAGGAAAGGTTTGGAGGATTTATGTCGTAAAATTTCGTTTCTTTTTTAAATAATATTTTTTGCAAAGCTTTAAAACAAGCAGACAAATGTCTTTATACCTCAAACATTTTCCTCCTTTCTTCTCTAGGATTCACTCTCTTCACAGGAGTTTGATGGGCCTGGACAAAAAGTAAAACTACAAATTAGACAAAGATTTTGAGGCACTCGTTTGAAAATTCCAAATTTATGAAAACTTAAGAAAAAGGCAAAGGCAATTCTTTCATAACTCTCTTTCAAAATATATTATTTTTAAAAATAAAGAAACACTGCACTGCTTGATATATTATCAAACAAAAAGAAACATTAAGTTCAAAGAAACTATGAAAAAGAGTTTGTCCCCAATCTTCAACTAGTTTTGTGCTCAGATATGAATGTTAGTGATTCTTTGAGAATGTGTTTGGCATTTTAATTAAATGACCATTATAAAACAATCAATTTTATTGACACAATATATTTTAACTCAAGGCTATATCAATGATGTGATAAGTGGTACTAAATCTCACACCTGATTCCACTCTCAAGCTTACTCCCTGATAAAATAACCCAGGTATGGAGTTCCAGAACTATCCCACCCCCTAATTCTATTATTAGTTCCTAACTCCTAATTTCTAATTTTGGCTAGTTATTTCAATTCAATTCTCATTTAAGCTAATTATATATCTTACCACTTGACCCCAGAAAAGGCACTAGTGTTGACGAGATAAAGATAACACCATATTTAAACAATAGTAGCTTTCCAATTTTTTCTAAAAACACACAGTAAGAAATATATTACCCATCTAGACCCAGTGTAGATATACACACACTCCCCCGCAAGTTTCACAAAATGTCTTTATATGTATAGTAGCCCCTGCTACTTTCTATTCTGTTAATTGTGGGGGGGAAAGTCCCTAAAAAACAAAAAAAAAAGTCCCTGCTTTTCACCCCCTAAAATGATTTTGCCACCACTATTGGAGCGCAACCCCCAGTTTCCAAATAGTTATGAGGACCTCTGGGGCACTATTGTGGAAGTACAGGAAATAAAAATTGTAGATAATGCTCCTAACAGTATTACAAACACACAGTTAACATTTCAAATTATGCTCTATGTATATGTGATTTAAACTAATAGGGAACATTACCCAGCATCTTTGAAAATTACAAATTCCTTCCACACAAAGAAATATTCCTTCTACACAAAGGAATAGTCCCTCAACACAAAGGAATACTATCTGGCAATTAAAAGGAAATAAAATACTTATACATGGTATAACAACGTGGATCAACCTTGAAAACATGCTGAGTAAAAGAAGCCAGTTACAAAAGACCACGTTATATGACCTCATGTATGTGAAATGTCCAGAATAAGCAAATGTATATAGAGACAGAAAGCAGAATAGTGGTTGCCCAGGGTGTGGGGGTGGGGAGAATACAAATGGGAAGAGTATTTTGAGGTGACAAAAATGTTCTACAACTGATTGTGGAGCTAGGTAAGCAACTCTGTGAATATAGTAAAAACCATTTAACTGCAAACTTTTAATAGGTGAGTTGTGTTGTATGTAAATTATATCTCAACAAAGTTGTTTTTAACAAATACATATCCCCAAGAGTTGCATAATAGTAATCTTTGGATATAGAGCCCTACAGTCTATATCTTGACAAGTTCCATGGGTCTAACATCCCATGCACCCAGTCTAGCATCAGTCTCAAAACTTGTGAACCACATTAATGTAATACAGCAGCTCAATATAAATGACTAGCTTTTATATACGTTACACAATGGAGTGCAGTAAGAAGAGAATGTTTAAAACCCCAAAATACTCTCCGGTAGGTTACATGAAGGCAAAGACTTCATCTCCTGATGTTCCACATTGCCTTACACATAGGATATGCAAATATTTGTGAAATAAAAAATAAAAAAACAAGGTGTTCCTCTGAGATCACACAGGTAATTTCAGAACACTATTTCTACACTGAAGAGAAAAATACAATAACATAAAACATCCACACTCAGAGAACTGTTTTGTTTTGTGTTTCTTAAAATGAGAGCCAAAATAATGAAATATATTCGTGGAGCTCCCTCCGGTGGCTTAATTGCCACTCCTTTGCTTTAACATAGCCATAAAAAAACAATCTGATTATTAGAGGAATCAGAACAGTCTTATGATACGCAAATATTTTGTAGACATGTTGAGTAATAATATGCATTAGCTTAAATCTGTGCAATTAAAACATGATAAGACAACCACATGTACTCACCAGCAAATTGGTATTAACAGATCAACACCTAAGTGGACATATAGGAGTCACATTTATCGGGTGTTGGGAGGGTGGGAGGGGGGAGGAAGGGATGGGTATATACAACCACAAGGAGTAAGATGTGCAACGTTTGGGGGATGGACATGCTTGAAGCTCTTACTCGAGGGGGGAGGGGGGCATTTGCAATATATGTAACATTAACACTTGTACCCCCATAATATGCTAAAATAAATAAATAAAACATGATAAGACAGTATCATTAAATAGTGTTATGGAGTTTCTAGGAGGAAGAGAAGTCTTAAAAAAATCAAATATAAAAATCACGGGAAAAACTTATTTTACAGGCCGGGCGCGGTGGCTCACGCCTGTAATCCTAGCTCTCTGGGAGGCCGAGGTGGGCGGATTGCTCGAGGTCAGGAGTTCAAAACCAGCCTGAGCAAGAGCGAGACCCCGACTCTACTATAAATAGAAAGAAACTAATTGGCCAACTAATATATATAGAAAAAATTAGCCGGGCATGGTGGCGCATGCCTGTAGTCCCAGCTACTTGGGAGGCTGAGACAGAAGGATCACTTGAGCCCAGGAGTTTGAGGTTGCTGTGAGCTATGATGACACCATGGCACTCACCGGGGCAACAGAGTGAGACTCTGTCTCAAAAAAAAAAAAAAAAAAAAAAAAAAAAAAAAAAAACTTATTTTACAAATAATGTAAAAATCATATTTACAATACCCTAGAAGTCTGGAGGTTTTCCCTCCTTTAATTGTTAGGCAAGCTGAAAAACTTTTCACACATTTAACTTTCATTTCTTTTCTGTTTTTTAAAACTTTCCTGAAATTTTTCTACATTTTTTCATTATGGTAAAATAAACATAACAGAATTTACTATTTTAATCACTTTAAGGATATAGTTCTGTGGCATTAAATACTTTCACACTGTGGTGTACAGAAATTTAGTTTTAAGTGAAATGCTTTAAAAATAAGCTGTATGATATTCCTAGTCCTGAACCATTATTTAGTTCTCAACGGTTTGCTTAGAAAATCATGCTTATCTGCTTAAAAAGTTTGAGGGCAACGACCTTGCCTGGAATCCAAATCTGAATCATTTGTTTTATCATTCAGAATATTTTATAGATGATATTATTTAGAATAGTAACTAGAATCTGAAAACTCCACAGCATGCTGTTCTTGTATACTGAATAAATATTAACTGAAAATGAGGGAAACATTAAGAAAACCAATGTATGATTTGATTCTGTCAGCCATAAGAAAAAACAGATTATAAGCCTGGCCACGAACCTGCCCAGAGGGAAGTGAGAGACTTTATATTACATCATTAGTCCATTGTCACCAAGATTTCTAATCTCTCCACTCAATCAGGCTAATACATGGCGCCAAGAGGTAAGATAACTCTATTTCTGCAAGTCCACCCAAGTATGTATTCCTTATAGATATAATGACATAAAGATACAAAAACCCCCATTCTCCCTTCTCTGTACCTCCACACCAACGATAGTTTTGTTCCCTGGAAGGACAGAGAATTCCATATGTGTATATTTCAAATACTAAAATGGATTACATGTGTAAACACCATATGGCATAAATAAGTATCTCAAAAACTGTCTATGAAATAGATTTACTTTGAATTCATATTTCACTGGACTCTATTAGAAGAAATAAAACACATTTCCAAAGAAATTTTGATCCAGGGCATGATTTTTGTTAAAAGGACATATATAGGAATGTAACCAACCTGACTGATTTCATATTAATGAAATATAATACAACTGCTAATAATCACAAATAAAAATATAGAAAGTATATATAATATTAAGTTAAATACAGAAAGTATATATAATATTAAGTTAAAAAAACAGAACACAAAATTACCTATAAACTCTCAGAGCTATGTTAAAAATACAGTCAATGTATATTTGAATAAAAATTTGAAGGCCCACAACAAAATTGAGTTAAATTAATTAAATGTAGTGCTTAGCTACTAGGAATCTGTTTCTTTCTTCTTTTATTACATAAAACTGTCAAAAGTATACTAAAAGACTATAGCAAATTTATTAAAACATACTTCATAAAAAAATACAAAGTTATACTAAAATTATTTCAAAGAACCAAATAACTTTATTAGAAATCAAGTCTATCTCAAGGATTAGACATGTTTGTAAAGAATCGATGCAAAATGTTCTATAGTTTTCTCTTTATTACCTCACACTGAAGTAGTTACCTTTTTAAAATTTAATTTTGTTATTTTTTTAAAAAGTATGGGTAACTTTTTTGATACACAATTGTACATATTCATGGGGTATATGTGCCATTTTGACACATGCACACAATGTGTAATGATCAAATCAGAGTGACTGGGACATCCATCACCTCAGTGGTTACTTTCAAGCATTAAAAATAAAAGCTCAAAGACACAAGCCTTCTGTTTGTGCCTAAAAGCAGGGGTTTTTATTTGGCCTTTTACACTATAAGTGCTGTTAAAATATAATGGATATTGCTTTGCTGATTTGGAATTCATTTTATTAATTCATTCACTCATTTTAAAAAAGTTTACTAGCCACTTACTTTGTGCAAACTATAAAACACAGTTTTAACTTCAGGGAGTTGACAACCTAATAAAAATAACATTAAGAAGACACATATAAAGTTCTGGAGGAGTTCACATAAGGAAGAAATTATTTTCCTGCTTTTTTGGGGGCATGGAAAAGAGGGATAATTAAGGAAGAAATAAGAAAGGACCTGTGGAACAAAAGATATGGGAGGTGTTTCCTACCTCCTTAGATCAGTGGAGAACTCTGAACATCCATGCCACCACTGTCACCATGACAGTGCCCCAGGTGATGATTCAACGTTCTGTTTGTTAATCTACAAGCTAATAATGTGAACACTCATCACACAACTTGTTCCTTTTGCCTTTTATTCAAGCCTTTATCTCCCTAGACTATAATATTTGAGGGCAAAAGGAGTATGTTATTCATTTTGTACCTTCCAAAGGCTTACAGAATAGTACGATATCAATATTACTTGTACCTACACAGAAGAGACAAAGAAAAGAACATTCAAAAAGGATGAAGGGGTACAGAATGAACAAAGCCAAAAAAGACAAAAGTACACACAAAGTACAGTTAGTAATTAGTGAGAAGTCCAATTTGGTTAAGACTCAGAATCTAGGAGCATCGTAGGAGACTGGGGCAATGAATGCAGATTTGAATCCTGGAAGGTCTTCAATACACAACTGTGAATATGCCATCTAATTGGGAGGGGAGTACTTTGTCTCTAAATGTTTTCTGCATGAACATACTTTACACAGTTTTTAATGTCAATGAACCTGGCTCTAAGAGCCTTAGATTTGAGTTTCTAGGTTACATACATATACATGCATGTGTGCATATATGTAATCCCAAACAAGTCCCCTATACCAAAGAATGCAGCTACTGACATAAACAAAATGTCAAATTCCTGCAACTGACACTGTGTTCTTAAGCATGTAACTTAAATGCTATAGGCCTTAAGTTTTTCATCTGAAATATGACAGAGTAACTACATGATCACATTACCTCCAGCTATATGGTTTTGACATACTTACTTGATTGTGAATTTTCAAATACAAAATTTTCCCAGATTTTATCAAGTATGTCACAGCTACTTACTTCTTGAATGCTCAAAAACAAATGGCTCTGCTTGGGTTGTTCAAAATTGACTTCATTTATAATGTTGCTTTCTTTTATTGCACCAATACTACTTAATGTTTCTGTATGACTCCTGTAAGTCGTCTTAGTTTTATTAACAGAAGACTGGTTAAGTAGAGAATGGCAATGTCCCTTAGTAACTTAATAAAAACAATCCTAAGAATATCAGGATTAACTGAATTGAGCTGCAATAAAATAAGGTCAAAATGAATTTGCTACTAATAGTTTGTAACATGATCATACCTGTTTATGTTTTTGCAGTGGTTTCTTTTCATGTAATTTTTTATCTCCATATTTCTTATAAGTTAAAGGTATTCCATATTTAGCAGCAGGTTTTGTAATTTTCTGAGTAGGTGCAACAGAAACCAAGCTTTGTCCTGAAGCTGGTCTTTTAGCTACATGAAAAGACAGAAAGCATTTTTTCTAGCAGTTCTTCATATTAAATCTTTAATTTCAAAATTCTTCAAGACAGTACTTTTTCATTTTCACAATGATTGACAACATTTGAAACTTTTCATCCAATATTTTATTCATTCCTAAGCATTTATCAATACCTTAAACCATTTTACACTAAAGCTATTTTTTGAAAGCAGCAAAAAGCCAAACTCCTCTAAGATGTTGAAATTTCTCATATTAAAAAAAAGAACAGCCCTAAAATTGACTGTGAGAGATGGCTGCATATTTCTGTGAATATATTAAAAAAATTTAATTATATACTACTCTAAATGGGTAATTGTATCACATGTGAATTATATATCAATAAAGCTGTTAAAAAATAAATTTTAAAAATTCACATTTTAGAAATTACTTTCAAAGTCAGAAGACAATCAAGATAATTTTTTTCCTTCTTGTATAGTCTGAATGATAAACATCACTACAGACTCACTGTAGAACAAACACCTTAAAACAATCATTAAAACTAAGGGTTTCACAAAAGGGGTACATACACTGTTGGTGGAAAGAATAAATTGGTCAAACTTTCTGGAGGGCAATCTATTTCAAGAACACTATGAACTGATTTTTTTATTTTTTTATTTTTTTTTGAGACAGAGTCTCACTTTGTTGTCCAGGCTAGAGTGAGTGCCGTGGCGTCAGCCTAGCTCACAGCAACCTCAAACTCCTGGGCTCGAGTGATCCTTCTGCCTCAGCCTCCCGAGTAGCTGGGACTACAGGCATGTGCCACTATGCCCGGCTAATTTTTTTTTATATATATATATCAGTTGGCCAATTAATTTCTTTCTGTTTATAGTAGAGACGGGGTCTCGCTCTTGCTTAGGCTGGTTTTGAACTCCTGACCTTGAGCAATCCGCCCGCCTCGGCCTCCCAAGAGCTAGGATTACAGGCGTGAGCCACAGCGCCCGGCCTGATTTTTTTTTTTATTTCGGCATATTATGGGGGTACAGATTTTAAGGTTTCAATAAATGCCCTTTCCTCCCCCTTCCCCCACAAGTCTGAGTTTCCAGCATGACCATCCCTCAGATGGTGCACATGTCACTCACTATGAACTGATTTTAAAGAAATAATCAGAGATACAAATCTTTATGTAGCCTGCAGCATTACTTATTTAACCCTTATTGAAGCCTAGATGAGGTTGTCTTAGAACAATAAGTTCAAGAAAAATAAAGTATTAATAATTAAAATTCTATTTATTCACATCTCTTTTTTTTTTTTGAGACAGTGTCTCGCTCTGTGCCCAGACTAGAGTGCCGTGGCATCAGCCTAGCTCACAGCAACCTCAGAATCCTGGGCTCAGGTGATCCTCCTACTTCAGCCTCCCAAGTAGCTGGGACTACAGGCATATGCCACCATGCCTGGCTAATTTTTTGTATATATTTTAGTTGGCCAATTAATTTTCTTTCTATTTTTAGTAGAGTCAGGGTCTCGCTCTTGCTCAGAGTGGTTTCGAACTCCTGACTTTGAGCAATCCACCCGCCTTAGCCTCCCAGAGTGCTAGGATTACAGGCGTGAGCCACCCCGCCCAGCCTATTTATTCACATCTCTGAAGAACAGTCTATAGTCTACCAAAACCTTCTTTCCTTTCCTATTGTCCACATCTGCTAGGGTACCTCTCCGCTCAAACACCCACAAAACCAGAATAGCAGCCAGCTTTCTTCCTCTTACAGCCACTCTCTAGCTCAGGATTTTATCATATGCTAATTCAATTTAAATCAATCTCTTCTAACAAGTATTCTTCCTTTTCAGGAGAAAAAAGGAGAAAAAAAATCTTAACTTGTGGTTCACAATGAAATAGTACTATTAAATGCAGTTCTTCAAAGAAAATGTAATTGTATTAATTATATAATAGTATGAATTAAAAGTATTACATTAAAATTAAATTAAATTAAAATTAAAAGTATTAAACAAACAAAACTTTGTTTATAACATAATACCAATTTTCCATCATTATGCATATGTTATCACATAAAAAATTTATCAAATAGAACAGTGTGTGCTAAAATTGGGGTAATTTTTTCTTTAAAAAATTTTTATAATGAGTGCATTTTTCAAATAATTTAGTAAACTCTTATAAAAATAAAAATAATATTAGCCATTTGCTTGACATTTTAGAGATGCAGAAGTAATTTGTGTTGATGACATAGGATACACAGGATATAGTGTTATAGGATAAGGATTTCCAAACATGTACTCAACTGTATCTTGACCCAGGAACTAGGAAGTGTGAGGGAAACAAATTTCTCTTTGAGAGTTCAACTGTGTGATCCAATATAGAACTCATATATAAAATGTACTCAATATAGTTAATATATATATTCTATATTAATATGAACATATATTCTGTATATAATATACATATAATATATTCAATATAGAACTCATATATACAAAGTAACAATACTGTCACCTGGCTAAATGTATTAATATAACCAAAGATATACTGTGTATGCCAGAAAAGGGACTAAAGGGACAAAACCATAAAAATTAAGATTCCCAAGAGACAGATATGAATAGTTCCTATCCACTTTACAGAGAAGAGGGAGAATTACTCATCTGATTTTTGGGCATTTCTCAAGCTCAGACAAGGCTACCTGTAGTATGAAGTTTAATGTGGGGAGCTGGAGGCCACAAAATAATTACAGACCCATCAGTGATTCCACTTCTATTTTTGCTCCATGCTATTAAACATTTTATTCATCCAATTCTTCTTACCACAAATAACTTTCTAATTCCTATGTAGATTTATCCACATGGAAAGAACGTGCTGACAGTGGGTGTTTTTGGCTTTTGTCACAAGAGGCTTTTGATTACAATTTGACTTCTTATAAAGCTGGACTGCCTGGAGAGATCATGCTGATTCTGCTGTGTGTCTCAGTCTCTTGTGAATTTTGTTTACAGCGAGTTGATTTCTCATGGACTGATGGCCTCTGCACAAGGAGAAGATGAGTCTACGGTCTTTAGGAAGGGCTAAGTGCAGTTTGCCTTCCTGAGAAAACACTGCCATACCACTTCCAGTTTAGATGGACTCATTTTAATGATATGGTGTTTATTTTTATTAATTAACTCAAATTCAAAATGGAAAACATGCAAAGCATTATGTTTGAAAAATATACTCTTCACAAATTAAATAACTCCCACTGATTTTAGAAATCCATCCTGAAATCATTTTATGCAAAAATAATAATTTCTCTCTTACACAGATACATGTATATACATACACATAGTATATAACCACATCTCCAAATATTCTAGTGCCACTGGTCACATTATTCCAAAGAAAACTTGTCCTTGGTAAAGTGCTTGACTCCACATTAATTTACTTTGTAAAATTTTAGAATGATGTATTTCTCAAAGAAAAATATTCTATAAAGATTTACAGCTAATTTGGACATTTTCTAATTCTAGAACAATGTTCTCAAAATATCAGCTAATAAAGATATTAGATTTCAAGCCAGATTTCTTTTAAATAAGATGGATATAAAAATTTTGTTATTAATTTATCAGAAAGTGTTGTATATTACCATATATCATACATAATTCTAAGATGCATGTCCTCTGGATTAAATTTAATCTACAATTATCCCAACTTATTATATCTACATATATTACCAGTATAATTAGGCCTGATGATTGCAAACAGATGAAAAGCCTCATATTAGATTTCATTTACCTGGTATAGGCTGTGCACCAAACTTGGAAAATGTTTTTGGACAAAATTCTTCTGCAATAAGCTTAGATTAAAAGAAAAAAAAGTTAGAAAAGATGTCAAATTTCCAAAATAAAAAAACCTACCCATTAATCAGAATATTTTTTCTTCTTTGAGTCATAATTATGCTGTCAAATAAACTGTACTAATTAAAACCAAGTAATCCATTCAGTAAATCCTTCTCATGCTAACTCCTTCCCAATCTTACCAATTTATTTATATTACTTCCCTAGACATGCTTACTTCTTAAATTAATTTAATGGACCATGCAGGCCCCATACACTACTTGCCTGTTCCGTATCTCTACAATTTAACACAACTATCTATTTGGAATAACCTTTATATACTGTGTGCATCCATATCCTTCATTTACTTCAAAACTACTGAAGAATAACTTCATTATCAAAATAACCTCTCTCAGAGTCACTCTCTGAGTTGTTTTAACTTTACTCTGAATCCTCTCAGCATCTCCAATGAGTTCACACTCATAACTGTTAACATGTTATTGGATAAATACTTGAATACCCTCATATAACAAATTTCTCTTTTTAATATTACTGTAAACACTCCATTACTTATTCCCCAGCATTTGTAAACATATTTTGAGAAGCAAAAATCATTTACATTTCTTGCAAGTAACTTTCCTTACTCTATTTTTGTCCCTAACTGCAAAACCATGATACCAACAGAGTTAACTTTAGATTAAGCTTGCTTTCTTCTTACTGGGTGGGAAAAAAAGGCAAGTGGGTTTTCTCTTTTTTCAAAAAGTCAAAAAGCCTGGTGGGAGAATATTCCTACAGTAACAGTGGACCAAACACTCCAATAAGCAAAAATCCATGACCTGAGGTGGTTTTCTTTCCCATTAAGGAGAGTCCTACTGCAGTTCTCAAAAAGTCTCCTACCAACAGTACCACCATAGCCTAGAACTTATTACATATGCGAACCGTCAGGCTCCACCTCAGAGTTACTGAAACAGAGATCCTGGTGGTAGGACCTAGTGATGCGCCCTCCTGTGATTGTGATGTGGGCTTAAGTTTGAGGACCACTGCACTAAAGGCTGCACCTCATACGTATGTAAGTGAAAGTCTGGCTCAAAGGCAGCTCAGAGCAACCATGGGAACGTGTTTTCTCTTCTGAACACATGCATTTTTTCCCATTTCTTTTCCTTAGAAGAAAACAGGTGGCTTATGATCATCAGCTTGTCCTAAAATTGAAGACTTTCTTCTACTGTTTAAGTACGAATCTTTCTTTTTGCCTGTGTGGATGCTCATATGAACTGAGAGATGGGGCATGTAGTATCTAAGAAGATCCTGAAATCTCTATTCTGTGCTGTCCATATATGTGCTGTCCAACATAACCACCATTACTCATATACATGGCTATTTGAATTAAAATTAAAAATAAATAATAGGCCAGGCGCGGTGGCTCACACCTATAATCCTAGCACTCTGGGAGGTCGAGGCGGACTGATCATATGAGCTCAGGAGTTTGAGACCAGCAAGAGCAAGACCCCGTCTCTACTAAAAAATAGAAAACATTAGCCAAGCATGGTGGCATATGCCTGTAGTCCCAGCTACTTGGGAGGCTGAGGCAGGAGGATCACCTGAGCCCAGGAGTCTGAGGTTGCCGTGAGCTAGGCTGATGCCACGACACTCTAGCCTGGGCAACAGAGTGAGACTCTGTCTCCAAAAAATAAAAATAAATAACATATATAGAAATTCAGCTCCTTGGTCACCCCAGCCACATTTCAAGTGCCCACTAATCCATGTGGCTAGTGGCTATGACACAGATATAGAACATTTTGATCATCAGACTGTTGCTCTATTGGATAGCACCTACATTCCTAATGAATCAGACCTTATCCATGATTTGTCAAGCCACATCTAGGAAGAAGTTGCCAGGGTGTGCAAGACTGAAAACTACACCCTATCAACCTTAGGTGACAGCACTGAGAGAATTTAGGTATTAAAAATAAAAACTGTGTGAAGCATTATAGTGATACTGGAAATAATAGTGCATATGTTGTGGTAAAGCTCACAAATTGTTTAAAAGTTATAGCCTTAAAAAAGTATCATAAACCTTTTCACTTGAATACTGAACAAATGATATGGAGTAGAAAATAAAACTGAAGAACAAAAATTAAAGGTTTCCATGAAGAATGAAATCTAAGTGGTGCTTAAATAGCAACAAGAAGGGTCTATGTATATATTAAACATGTAATGTCAAATACTCCATTTGTTAATAACCATCATCCACCCCCTTTTCTCTCCATATTATAAGTGTTGTGTATTTTGGGCTATAGTATTTTCTCTTTCATTGTCAGCTAATTGAATTCCAGTACTTCACCCTTGAGACTGAATGTCCTAACTGCTGGTATGGGGGGAAGAAACTCAGCAAGACTAAATGAAGTCATTGTTTCTTCTTTAGTAGCTGCCAAAAAAACAATAGTACACTGCATCACAAAAGTGTCCTCACAAATGTTATATACAACAAAGGCATCTTGTAAGACACCCACGTTTCAGAGGTTGTTGTTATGTCCTATACAAGTAGCCTTTGACCTTCAAATTTCAGTTGGCTTTCTTGCTTGCTAACACATTCTCCTGGTAGTACTGATAAGAGTTAAATCCACATGTCTGTTTTTTGAAGAGTATTTGTTCACATGAGTTAAGCCACAAGGATATATGATACTTACGTCTCCTCCCACAAGCACATGAAAGTAATAAAACTATGATTTTGCTAGATATCTTAATTATAGAAGAGTTTAATAGGGATTATTCAAAATAAAGACCACACTCAACATGAAAAGTAAAATAATTCCAACTTCAGGTGATCACATTTTTATAAATAACTTAAACCAATTGATTTGATACAGATTGTTTTATAAATCCTGTCAAGTTAAATTTTTTTTTTTTTTTGGAGAGACAGAATCTCACTTTGTTGTCCAGGCTAGAGTGAGTGCTGTGGTGTCAGCCTAGCTCACAGCAACCTCAAACTCCTGGGCTCAAGCAATCCTACTGCCTCAGCCTCCCGAGTAGCTGGGACTACAGGCATGCACCACCATGCCCGACTAATTTTTTCTATATATATTAGTTGGCCAATTAATTTCTTTCTATTTATAGTAGAGACAGAGTCTTGCTCTTGCTCAGGCTGGTTTCGAACTCCTGACCTCGAGCAATCCGCCCGCCTCGGCCTCCCAGAGTGCTAGGATTACAGGCGTGAGCCACCACGCCTGTCCCTGTCAAGTTAAAATTTAAGTTAAATTTAACTCAATATTTATTATGCACCAAGATGTGAGCACTAGAGGAAAAATCATGAGTCAACAATCCAGTATACATACACATAAATGATTTCCAGTCATTTTCTATCAAATAGAATATAATTATGTAAATTACATTGATAATATATTTATATTAGTATAATAAATTGATAACATTTACTATAGTGAATATTTTGAGCACTTATGTGCTAGACGTTAAGCACTAGATGTACATTATCACTTAATTCTCATAACAACCTTAGCATATGGATACATTTATAATCTCATTGCTCACAGGTGAGGAAAGTGAAGGACAGAAAGGTTTAATAATTTTACAGTTAGAAATCCAAGAACGCTGGGTATTGTGGCTCACACCTATAATACCAGCACTCCAGGAAGTGAGGCGGGAGAATCACTTGAGGTCAGGAGTTCAAAATCAGCCTGAGCAAGAGAGCCCATTTCTACCAAAAATAGAAAAATGTAGTCCCAACTACTCGGGAGGCTGAGGCAGGAAGATGGCTTGAGCCTAGGAATTTGAGATTCCTGTGAGGTATGATGATCCCACTGCACTCTAGCTTGGGCAAGAGAGTGAGACTCTGTCTCAAAAACAAACAAACAAACAAATTCAAAGAACACAGAAATGATGCACAACTGGAAAGAAAATAGGAAGAAAAAATCATGTAAGAATGGAAAGGATGGTGATGCCAGAGTTGTCCGACAAGGGCACATCATTCCCCCAACGTTCTGATGTACTCTCCTTAAAACGGAGGGCACGTCCTAGGTAAGCAACGTAACCCCACTGTCTAATTGTAACGGAAAACAACATACCTGAGGGGACAGAAACTTTTCAATGCGTTTGGCTATAAAACCTTTCTCCAATATGGAGTTGACTGATGGTCTATCCCTAGGATTTCTCTTAAATAACTGAGAGAGCAAATTGCGGAGATCATAGGAATAATGCAAAGACACCGGTGGGAAAGATCCAGATATTATCTTCAGCACCAGGTTTTTCATGCTGCCAGCTTCAAACTAAAATCCAAAAAATAAATCAACATGTATGAAACATATACAAACTGAAACCGGGAATATCAGCAATAAGAAACATCAACAGTTCTTTTCCTATCAATATAGAACAGAAACACAATGCTCTTTTAAATAATTTAATCAGACTATGTTCACTAGAGAAAAGTTTACTTGGTTACAAATATGTTTCAAAGAGCGTATCAGTCTCAAAAAAATAAAACGTTATAACTTGCTGTTAAGAGTAATTTTTAAATTAAAATTTAAAATGCTAAAAGATGGGATGTAGGTATTATATAAACTATGATAATAATCAGGATGGTAAAAGATTATTTCTTAGAGGTAGCAAAATCAGGGCCAAAGAAACACAACGGAGGAAAAAAACCAACCTAGTGTTCTTCATTTAAGACCTGCCTTCCTGGCTGGGCGCTGTGGCTCACACCTGTCATCCTAGCACTCTGGTATGCTGATTGCTTGAGCTCAGGAGTTGGAGACCAGCCTGAGCAAAAGCAAGATCCACCTCTACTAAAAACAGAAAAATTAGCTAGGCGTCATGGTGTATGTCTGTAATCCCAGCTACTCAGGAGGCTGAGGCAGGAGGATCCTTGAGCCCAGGAGTTTGAGGTTGCAGTGGGCTATGATGACCCCTCTGCACTTTACTCTGGGTGACAGAGAAGACTGTCTCAAAAAACAAAACAAAACAAAACAAAAAACCAAAAAGGCCTGCTTTCCTGTACCTCTGTTATAATGACTAGAACAAGAAATTAACTACAGAACTAAAAGTTATTTGCAGAAAATATAATAAATAAAACTACTAAACTTTTCTTTTAGACAGTGCTCATTATTATTATTTTTGTGTATATGATTCTCCCCAAAGTTATGGAATCAGCAATGTGGAAAACACCCAAGGGGAATATAAACTTCATTAATAGGAATATATTTTTTAGGATTAAACACAATATAAACTCTAGCTGATGTAAAAAGAAAAGAGGTGGGGCAGTTTAAAATCTAAAGATTTCATTTTGAAAGAAGGTAAAATTAAGCTTTTGATATCTCACCTAACAGTTGTACAATGCTGAGATCTTCTTAATACACACATTAAGAAAATAAAATGCACGTACTATAAATCAGGCATCAGTGATTATTACAAGAGTTTTATTAAATGTTGAGCTCTCCAAAATGTCATTTAATTTATAAAAATTTGAGTAGAAATGTCTGTGCACCTAAACAGGAACCTAAATGCAGAAAAGATATGGTTCTCTATTCCTTACACTAATGAACTTTCATTTTTCTCTCAACTGACATGCTTTCCACAAATAATGGTTGGTAAATTACTTAATTTCATATGTCTTAAAACACATGTTACCTAAGAGTAAACAATTCCAAAACATAAGAGCAATGGTGAAAGAACAATGTAGATGAAATGATTTTTTTAAAAAAACAACAAAAACACCGCCACTGGTTTAAACCTAAAATAACTGTGTCACAGAAAAAAACTGACCAATTCCTTCAAATACATATCTAATAACCACCATCCTACATCACGTTGGTAGCCTGTGCTTTTTTCCTTAAAATTAGAAATCTAAGGCAAAAAAGAAGAATATGCAACCATTAAAAAGAATGATAAGGAAAAATATTTCCCAAATAATATCAAGCAATAAAAGCAAGCTATGAAACTGATTATATAGTATCATCAAACTTTGAGGGAGAAAAAAAGCCAAATTCATTTTATAAATTAATCTATATAATAGAATAAAGTCTAGAGGGAAACAACAAAATATTATAGGTAGTTGTTACTGACTGAAAGAATTGCTTATGATATTTATTCACTTCCTTATTTTTTAATGTATTTTCTGAAGTTTTATGTAATTAAAATACAACATTGTTTAATCAGTGGGGGAAACATCTTAATCACTTTCCATTTCAAAAATCCTTTTTTTTTTTGTAAACCTATTTGGGACAAGAATTCTCCCTTTTTGGTATGTTAAATGTCATTTCAAAAACGTCTCCAAAGTAAACATTTTAAATACTCTAAAGAATTGAGTATTTAAATTGATAAAATCCTTCAATGTATGTTGGAAGTTCTTTAAATAACTTCAATTCCAAATTTAAATAACTTGGGTGTTTTGAGAGAATTTCCTAAAATGAAACTAATAAAATTTGTGAAGCTAAAATATCAAAACCATGTAAATGAATTTAACATTAAGAAAAGAGCAAAATTTATTTCTGTCATTAGAAATAATTTTCTAGAAAAAAAGTATGAAACATAAAACAAATACATTACATAAGCATACATATTAAGGGAAAATCAATTTACACTTTAGTAAAGATGAGAAATTTAAAAACTTAGAGAAGAATTTCTAGTATAAGAGAATCATATACAACATGATACAATTTAAAAAATAATAGAAACATAACAATCACTTTTTGACATAATTTTTTAAATATCTCTGAAACTTCTACTCACTGCATGTTTAAGTGTACACATCTCATAAAGGACACACCCCAGAGCCCAAATGTCACTAGAAGAGACAAAAATGAGAAATATCCTCTAAGTATCAGAAAGTACCTAAAAATTTTTTCATTTAAAGGAAACATAAATGGCAAGAAAATGTTTTAGAAAAACATATGCTACATAAAACATTTCCTTTTAAAGGAAAACTCAAAATTTCAACCATAATCAAATGACAAAAGCAGATGTCAGGTTAGGAAAATAGTTGCCCAAGCAATTGTTTTAAAGTTTTATTAAAGAAATTTAATATTTAAAAGAACAATAACAAAAAATTTCATGTATATTCTCTATAGTTATTTTTATTTCCCAAAAGTCAAACTGCTTTTTTTAATTATTTGCAAAATACCACGACTTTTAAAAATATAATAAAAACAAAATGTTGTTTTAATGAACATGAAAACAATATTAATTTGCTAAAATTAAATCTGAAAGAAATCTTCAATAGCCAACTGACCAATGTTTCTTGGTTGGGATTTGTCAATTAGAAAGAGGGAAAGAAAATAAAGGGTGATTGGAATTCAATGGCAAGACTGCTATTCCTGTCCACATATTACACAGTCTGTGCCACAGCACAGCTCAGGGATTAGGAATAGGGGCTTGGAAGACAGATGACTCATTTGGATACTGGACTTCCCACTTACTAGGCTGAAGGATTTCAAAGAAGTTACTTTACCTCTATCTGCATTTGGTTTCTTTGTAAGCAAAAGAGGGATGATTAACACCTATATCTCACAAAATTATTGTGAAGATTAAGAGTTAATACATAGAATTCAAAACAGTGCTTGGCATAAAGTAAGTGTCCAATAAATATTAGCAATAATTCAATAGGAGGTGACTATTACAAAAAGACAGACCAAAAAGAAAGCACTCTATTTTCAATTATAACTTACATAATAAAGTGACTCTATAGTTCCTTCAGCAAGGTAGTCAAATAGCCTTCTTACAATTCCCCTCATTAACAAAATATATATATACATGTGTATTACTGATTTTGGAAAATTATATTCTGAAGGTTAATAAATATAGTCGAATAGATTTAAAGGAAATATATCATATAATGAACATAATTTTAAATACCTTTTATTATTATAAGGTTTGTTTTCACAGATTTCAGGTGACAAGTAGTATGGAGTCCCTATACAAGTGCGAGCCAGCTCTACAGTACTAGAACAGAAAGAAAATTATTGGAGAAGCTTAAGATACAATCATGTGCCATGTAACAATGTTTCAGTCAATGACAGACATGCATATAATACAGTAGTTCCATAAGATTGTAATGGAGCTGAAATATTCCTATCATCTAGTGACATCATGGCTGTCACAATGTTGTAATGCAATTACTTTATTTTTGAATAAATTTAGTGTAGCCTAAGTGTACAATATTTATAAAGTCCACAGTAGTGTATACTAATGTCCTTCACATCCACACACCACTTGACTTACCCAGAGCAACTTCCAGTCCTGTAAGCTCCATTCATGGTAAGTGCCCTATACAGATGTACCATTTTCTATTTTTTATACCATATTTTCACTCTGTTCTTTCTATGTTTAGATATGTTTAGATACACAAATCCTTACCATTGTATTACAACTGTTTACAGTATTTACTATAGTAACATGCTATACATGTTTGTAGTCTAGGAGCAACAGGCTATATCATATAGCCTAGACATGTAGTAGGCTATACCATATAGGTTTGTGTAAGTATGCTAAGTACACTCCATAATTTCTGCACAATGAAATCACCTAATGATGCATTTTTCAGAAAGTATCCTCATTAAGTAACATATGAATATATTCAAGATATTATAAATGATCACATATACATCATCATGGACTAAAGTTTCACTGAAGACATTATATCAAAACATAGTTTAAAACTGGTATGTTACCTATTAAGAACTCTAGCAATTCCAAAATCTCCAAGTTGTACCGTTCCATCTTTGGTTAAAAATATGTTCTGTAAAAGACAGGAAAAAAAAAACAGAAATATTGTTACGGTCCAGGTGAGTGGCTGGATATCCACATGAAAAAGAATAAATGTATTTCCCTACCTCAAACCATATACAAAAATGAGCTCAAAATGGATTCTAGACATAAATATGAGAACTAAAATATAAAATTAGAGGAAAATAAGAGTAAATCTTCATGCCCTCGGGTTACACAATAGTTTCTGAGATATGACACTAAAAACACAGGCAGAAAAGAATAAATATGGATAAATTACAATTCATCAAAATTAAAAACTTGTGCATCAAAAAAAAAAAAAACTTGTGCATCAAAGAACACTATCAAGAAAACAGACAACCCACAGAATGGGAGAAAATATTTGCAAATCATATATCAGACAAGGGACTTGTATTAAGAAAAAGAACTCATATAACCCAACAACAGCAAAAAGATAAACAACTTAATTTAGAAATGGGCAAAAGGAATATATTGTATGGTTTTCATTTATGTAAAATGTCCAGAATAGGCACATCCATTTAGACAGAAAGTAGATTTAGTGGTTGCCAGGGTCTAGGTGGAGGAGGAATGGGAAATGACTACTAATGGGTACAGGGTTTCTTTCTGGAGTAATAAAAATGTTCTGGAATTTTTAGAGAGTGGGAGTTGAGGGAAATAATTTTTGAGTATAGGAAGTAAGCAGATCTAACATAGGATGCAGATGGAGAGGATTTCTAGGATAAGAGTACAGGGAGCAGACATAATCTGATGCACACTGAATCAGGTTCAAAATTTGTGGCTCAAGACAATGAAGGCTCCATGTCCTTATCCATTTAGAAGTTACTGCTGACAAAATAACATACCTGTGATTTTATGTCTCGATGAAGAATTTTTCTATCATGTACATGTTTCAGGGCCAAACATATCTGTACAAACCAGTCTAAAATCTAGGAATAAAAATCATATCTGTCATTTCTTTCAAAATTTACATTTCACAGTAGTCTTTCCTTGACCATTAAAATAATTCAGGAAAATTCTGGGGTCAGGAGAATTAAATTCTTAAAAACTTTTAGGCTGCATTTCTTTTCATTTTGTACTCACTAACATCAAATAGATATTTAAGCCAACTGACACACAATATATATAGAGCACATACTAAATCTAAAATGTAAGAGACTGCTACTGAGTCATCGCTTATAAACCAATATAAATATGGAAAGAAACTTTGAGAGTGAAAAATGGAAACAATTTATATTTTATAATAGTATGATGCTAAGTGATTCTTCTTTGTTTTTAAATATATTTTTTTCTATAATGCTTTCTTTAAATATAAATAAAAATCAGACTGAAAAACTGGAAAATATCTCTGATTTTTTTCTCTTCCCACATTCACTATATAAACACTGACTTTGGAATTGGCTGCTTACAAGTAAAAAAAATGTCTAATCTCACTCCTAACACCAAAATAATTCCAAGTGGATGGTATTTTTAAACATGAAAAATTAATTCATAAAATAATTAAAGCAAAGATACGTTAATTTTCTGCAATCTTTGAACCAGGACTTTCAAACCAAGACATAAAACCCTCAAGTCACAAGAAAAAAAAACTGATGAAGTTGACTACATAAAACTTACACATCTGTTGGCAGATAAAGAGATAAAAGATTTCAGAAGTTTTGCAGGGCTTCGCCTTGAAGGAATATGTGAGCATGTTAGTTCACAGATCATAAGCTGCCTTGCCACAGGAGGGCATCTCACCGATCTGAAGCATTTGCAAGGCTACGCCTCGGTCTCTCAGACCTGAAGGCCTGCTTGACGCTTGTGTAAGACAGGGCTCAGCATAGGGTCACAGGCTGAGAACTGATAAAGAATGCCCACCCAGCGGTCACCTGCAGCTAGAGACAATTGGCCTCAGGGACAGTTCCTGCTTCACTCCTGACCACTTGTCTCTATCAACAAGAAACTAGATAAATATGTAGCCTGTATATTTCTGTTTAGTCTTTCTGCTAATTGATAATTTTATGTTAGGACTTAGAGTTTATCTTAGAAAAATTTCATAATCATTTGCTCACATAGATAGAGTTAATTAAGGGATCTCTAGAAACTTTTGGAGAGACTTAAAACCTAAATAAATGATCTGTTATTATAACCACTGGCAACTAATCGCTGCACCAATAAATACCGAGGTGGGACTTCATTCAGGGCCTCACAGCTCACAGGAATGCTGGAGGACCCCTGACTCCCCCATCTTTATAAACTATACTTTTGTCTCCCTTTGTCTCGGTTATTTCTCTATTCTCTATTATTTTCAAATCTCTTGCAATAATCCTGCCTGGGACCTGTTTTTGCTGGAAGTGTAGCTAACTCCTGGCAACATTTGCATGGCAAAATATATAATCAAGTTTAATAATAATTTGAGAAAATATCTGTAGCATAATTGGTAGATTGCTAATTCTCAAATATGTAAAAGTTTTCCCAAATCACTGAGAAAACTATTGGCAGTCAAAATAAGAAATAGACAATATATTGAAAAGGCAAATTATGGAGGAAAAAAAGGCCCCAAAACACATACACAAAATATACCTACATATACAAACTATTAACTCTATATAATCATGTTTGTGTACAGGAAGGAAAGAAGAAATGAAGAAAGGAAGCATAGAGAAGGATAGCCACCAGTTAACATTGTTTACCTCAGGGACGTGGATTTGCAGACAATGGAATGAAAGATAACAACTTTACTTTTTACTCTATCTGTTTTTTAGTAGCTTTTTAGAAAAAGAATATTACATTTAAAATAATCTAAAATTAATTTTTAAAATAATTTTCTTTAAAAAAAAACTTTCTCTGTTCAGTTCTATAGATATTTAGAAGAGAAGACTGTATAAAATTTTAAGTTCCTTTCCATATCCACAGAAGGCATTTTAAGTAGAAAAACGAAATATAGTTCTCTGACTTACAGAAGTTCATATAGTAGTAGAAATAAATTCATAAACAAATACTTATAATAAATGCATAAGTTTTATAACAGATACATGAATGACAAGAGAACAATTAATTTAACCAGGGAGGGGTCAGGAAACAGTACAAAAAGGAGATGAAAATTAAGCTTGGTTGAGTCTTACTATCATATGAACACTATCAATAAAAATCACCCATGCCTCATTTCACAGATAGGGTTCTTTCATTACCATGTTTCCTATACCTGTACTTCTTTTTAACTCGATAAAATTTATTTAGCACCAACAATGTACAGACATGTGCAGGCACTGGCAAAAAAGTTAATAAAAGAGCTCATAGACCAGGGGTCAGCAAATCTATTCTGTAAATGGCCAAGACAGTAAATAGTTTAAGCTTTGCAGGTGTCTGTCTCAACTCTTCTACTGTACCACAAAACAGCCATAGATTATACTCAAACAAATAAGTTTAGCTGTGTTCTAATAAAACTTTATTTACAGAGATAGTGGGCTGAATTTGGTTCACAGGCCATTGTTTGTCAGCTCCTGTAAAAGACTATTGAGGGAGATGGGTAAGTAAACCAGTAATTATAGAGAGGAAAATGACACTGACTATGTCATTTTGGTTAAGTTACTTAACCTTTCTTAGATTCCTTACTATTACATAGAAAAAACTACACCAATTCATGGGGTTATAAGAATTAAAAGAGACAACAAATACAACACTCCTAGAACTGTGCCCCCTCCATTCCCCTATATAAAAGTAGGCAATATTAAGAATAGCTGATAATGAGAAATGCATTAAGAATTTAAAGAGAGAAAAGATTACAGATTAGTTATAAAAAATTTAAATAATCTAGGACTTGAATTTTTTTAAACAATGGTAGAACATATAGGGTTGGGGAGAATAAAATAATAAAAAAATAAAATAATCAGAATAAATACACAGAAAGGAGAATAAGATGTACAAAAATGTGGCCCAGTGCCTAACACAAAGTACATGCTCAATAAATATCCATTAAAATAAATGAAGAGATGTGTAGGTCAGGGAATAATAGAAAAAAATAAGGATAAGGCTGCTTAGGTAAGGTATGTTGCATTTCAGAGATCCTTGAAATCAAAACAGAAATTAGATTTAGTGTAGTTGTCTATGCAAGGCTTTTAGAGCTGGAGTTAACTGGCAAAGCCACAATTTGGGAAGATATTGCCTGGCAGCGGTAAGCAAGATTGACAGGATATAGAATAATTAACCAGTTATAATGCAAAATTAAGTTATAGCCATAGACATACATATGCACACATGTTGGGAAAATATGACTGAGGAACTAATGAACTGTGGCTCATAAGATCATTATTTTATTGTATAACCTAATATTACTATATTAAAGACAGAAACAAGAGTTTGCAGGCTTTTGCCCTGAAGGAATGTGTGGACTCAATGGTTCACTTATTAGAGGCTGCTATCATGGGAAAGCTCTCAAATCTCTGGTAGGGATGTTTTCCAGGAAGGCTTCCCAGTATCTCACAATCTGTGAGTTTCCCTGTGTCTTGAAAGACAAGACAAGACAAATATGGCCCACAGGATGGGAGCTGGAGACAATGAGTGCCCTTTGCCCAGAGAAGCGCCCCGGTGGTTATAAACAACCTGTTTATTAGAGAGATGGGCTTCCTGCTCTCTCCTGTCTACCTTTAAGTCCACCAAAACTAATCAAAGAAATATTGAGTCACTATACCTCTTTTGTTTTACCTCTGTTGACAACTACCTCTTAGAAATTAGAAGTTAGTCCCTGAAAGACTTTGTACCTGTTTGTTCACCTAGATAGATTAGAAGCCCCTTGAGAGGACTTTTGACCCTAACCCACTACTTGTATCCCCTAGTAACTGCATTCCTGATATGCAAATATGTTACCCTGACAACTGGTAATTGATGTCTGTGAGTATAAAAACCTGTATGAATCTAACCATATTGCTGGTGTTTATGGATATATGCCAGTCCCCTAAGTACACCCTGCTGTGTTATATCTGACCTTTTAAATATATAAAACTAAAAACTATACCTTAGTCTCTGTGTATTCTTTTATTTCTCTCTGCTGCCTATCAGTTTCCTTATCCTCTGTGGCGACCCCTATCTTAGGGACTTGGCTCTGTGAGGAGAAGTAGCCGATCTCCTCGAGGGTCTGCCTCAAATACTCCGCCCCATGCACATACACGCTGCATATAACATATATTACACAAATAACAATATATTACTACCGACTGGAAGTGAAATGGGGAACTGAACAAAGGTGAGAGCAAATTAAATGGAAACTTGACTAAGATATCGGATATGATACTAAACTGCTCTAGTAATTACAAGTAGCATTTGTAGTTTAAAATACATATATTAGTGGCCGGGCGCGGTGGCTCACGCCTGTAATCCTAGCTCTCTGGGAGGCTGAGGCGGGTGGATTGCTCGAGGTCAGGAGTTCAAAACCAGACTGAGCAAGAGCAAGACCCTGTCTCTACTATAAATAGAAAGAAATTAATTGGCCAACTAATATATATAGAAAAAATTAGACAGGCCTAGTGGCGCATGCCTGTAGTCCCAGCTACTCGGGAGGCTGAGGCAGAAGGATTGCTTGAGCCCAGGAGTTTGAGGTTGCTGTGAGCTAGGCTGATGCCACGGCACTCACTCTAGCCTGGCAACAAAGCGAGACGCTGTCTCAAAAAAAATAAATAAATAAAATAAAATACATATATGAGTAAACAAACTTTTAACTACTTCTCAGTAAGGGAGTAAGTCATCTCCTACATGCTAACTTACCTGATCCTCTTGAAACAAAATGCCTTTCTGAGCATTTATTCGTTTAAACAGATCCCCTCCTTCACAGTAATCCATCACGATGTAGAGAGAGCCATTTTCTACAAAATATAATGTTACATTCCATTTTTAAAAAGATATATCAAAAGCATAGCCTAATTAAAGGCACTGAATGTTTTACCAAACAGCATCAGCCAAACAAAAAACAGGACCAAATTCGAAGGAAGCAGGGTGCAAAGTCAAGGTGCACTGGTCGCACAGACTGTGCAATGACAGGTAACCGGCAGCTCCATCACTAATGGTTTCTCTGCCAAGAATACGCCACCCTATTGGACAGCGGTGTTCACACTGACTTACACATATCTGGAATATAGACAAAATGTAGACAGATATACTTGATTTCATTCAATAGATACATTTTCTTAAAATCACATATAAAATCATGTTCTTCTACCAATATGTCTAAGATAGGATACCTTAGTTTCCAACTGACCATTAATTTTCAATTTTGTTTTATCTATTTGAATCAATTACTTATTAAAGAAACATAATAAATGCTGTGATAAACTATGAGGATTCAACAGTGAATAGGACACAGTCCTACTCTCTTAAAGCTTTCTTTGATTTTACTTTCTTTTTTAAAAAGTTGTATATAATTTGTGAATCAACATGAAGATGGAGCAACTGCCCTTTTTACCTTTGTGTTTCAGTCCACAGAGAGGGGGACTTCTATGCCTCTTATCACTGGTAGAAAGCACTAGAAGGACACTTCTAATCATTCTCTCTACCCTTTCCTTCTTCTCAAGTTAGGAAGAATGGCCAGCATCACTTCAACTGTTTACTGAACGTCATAATTCAAAGAACAGTTTTCCCAATTCTTACTTCTACTACCTGCGCTGTGACCTTGCTTCCAGCAGTACTTATTTCTTACACCTCGTGGTAGTTTTCTTATCACTCCTGATCTGTATTTCCTCTTTTGACACACTGCTTGCAATGTCTCACTGGGATTAGGAACCTATGCGATTAAACTAACTAAGAATCTACAGGACCCTTTATGATGAACATGAAAAGATCATCCAAATACAATGTGAAAAATTACAAGGTGGAAAAAAAAAACCTCTGGAAATTATATAATTCACTATTTATAAAAAATATATATATAGGATGTTACCATTTATGGAGTATAAGAAACAAAAAGCAAAAGAATGCAGACAGTATGCTACCATTAAAGTACGCTTATTAATGCTTGGCTATTTCTGGAAGGAAATACAAGACAGTGGTTATCGGTCCAAGAAAGGAGCATACATGGCTCAAAGATAGGGGGAAAAAGACAAATTTTTTACTGTCTTGTAACAATTTTGTGCCATGTGCATCTAACAAAAGATAAATAAAACCATGAAAAGATAACAACAAAAACTGTGGGTGTGAGTGAGAGAGGGGTGGGGAGGAAGTTAGACAGGACCTGAGACAGGGATGGAGAAGCAATCCTAGATGTGAAATGTCTGAGCTGCAGTACGTGCGCTATGTAGTGCTTTCTGCTCCCTAGACATTATTATTTATCCTACGAATACTTATTTAAAATGTAAGGTTAATAGAAAAGTCTTATCTACGCAAGGGAAGCATTAACCCATTTCGTATTCCTTCAATCGTTCAAGCACCTGAGCACCAATTATGTGCCAGGCACTTTGCACAAGATTCTAGGAATAAAGAAATGTAAGACACCACTACCCTTATCACCAATCAGGCTGCACACTAATGGCAAAGACCTTCCAAAAAACAAAAACAACTGTCACCAAAAAATTGCTTGAAGTTAGGGCAATAAGACTATAATGCATGTCATCATTAGGGAATCATCAAGAGTTTAACAGAAAATAGTAATGAGGATGTGAGTCACAGCCACTCAGCAAAACACATACTATTGGTTGGCTAACCCAACAACCAATTCTAACACTGTTCTCCCTTCACCACCTCTCTCTCTAGAAGCTATATAACAACACAAAACAGGCAAAGGTTCTGATTCCTACTTTGACCTGTAGTTAGAGTTGGTCATCGGACCCAGTCTGGCCAATAAGATTAAGAGGAACTCTGCAGAGTGGCTTCTGAAGAAGCACTTGCTTTTCTGATTAAAAGAACAGACTCAAGACAAGAGTTGCAGATGCCACCATTTCCCCTTTGTTTTGGGCCTTGCAGACATGAGCCTAAGTTGCAAGAGTCATCTTGGGACAAGGTGAAAAACATTAGGCTGAAAAACTTACATACTAAAGATGTCAGGGTAGAATGACAGAAAGAGCCTAGACCTTGGTAACACTGTTGAATTGCCATATATGCCCTGTTACAGGTTTGCTTATCTTAAGACTTCTTCTAAAAAGCGAAAAGAGACTTCTTGTTAGGAAAGAGAAGATCTTCCTTACTTAAGCTAAAATTGGTCAGATTTTCTGTTACCTGAGGCCAAAAGCAACCAAGATTTAGCCTCCAAGAAAAGCTTTCTTCAAGTAGGTGATTCTGGCAGCAGCAACAGGGAACAAGTAGAATGCTAAACCCTATCCCAATACACAAGATTCAAAAGTTTCCATTAAAGATATAAAAACTACTTTCAACACAGTAAGAAATAAAACAAATTTAAGAGAAAAAAGTAAAGGCAAAAATAAAAGCAATTAGAAGATGACAGCTGTACACAACCAAAAATAGAGAATGATATATGAACAGAAGTAGAGAAAATAAAAATGTATATCAGATATAAATATATGCCCAAATATACAGTGATACAAGGCAATCCCCTATTTTCCCAATGATAAAATCAAAATCTTTACCTACATGTACTTATAAATAAATGTTAGGGATGCAGATGAAATAGTCAGATGTATAATTATAATATTTAATATTATATTCTAATGATATATTTACATTTTAAATTATATATATTTGGAAATATTTTTTCTCCCGTTCTCATGTTTTATGAAATAATTTTATCCAAACTCTTCACATGTAGATTGAAATCAATGTGTTTTACTGATTCGTCTATCAGATTTTCCCAGGATTGTACATGTGATCTTCATTTCCTTTTAAAGAGAGCAATTTTTTTTTTTTTTTTTTTTTTTTTTTTTTTGAGACAGAGTCTCGCTTTGTTGTCCAGGCTAGAGTGAGTGCCGTGGCGTCAGCCTCGCTCACAGCAACCTCAAACTCCTGGGCTTGAGTGATCCTTCTGCCTCAGCCTCCCGAGTAGCTGGGACTACAGGCATGCGCCACTATGCCCGGCTAATTTTTTATATATATATCAGTTGGCCAATTAATTTCTTTCTATTTATAGTAGAGACGGGGTCTCGCTCTTGCTCAGGCTGGTTTTGAACTCCTGACCTTGAGCAATCCACCCGCCTCGGCCTCCCAAGAGCTAGGATTACAGGCGTGAGCCACCGCGCCCGGCCTAAAGAGAGCAATTTTTAATCTGTTTAGGTTGTCATTGAAATTTATTTCCCATACGCAGAATACTGGGACTTTAAAAAAATCATCCTGGAGGGCTATATGCATGGTTGTCACAACATTATCATACTGTCTTTTAAATGACTTTAGAAGGCTTACAATGGTATTAATATCTGCAATTACAATATTAAGTCCCTTTGATGCCTCCCTTTTAAACTGATTCTGCCTGAGGATCTCTATAAGCATCCAAAACTCAATGAAATTATCTTCCCCCAAAACATTGTTATTTAATGTATTAAAATTTCTTGAAAGCACACCTTCTGAGAGACTTCATAATGAAGAACTAGTTTATAAGGCAAGACAACTTTCTGGAAAACAAATTTTTGGAATATTTTTCCTTATATTAAGGTATACAATACAAGAATTGAAAAAAAATAATGACATGGAAATTTTTCTGAACAAAGAAACTAGAATCTGCAGATAGAAAGCATACAAAATGTTCCAAGAGAAACCAATTCCAAGTTATTAATACTAAGTCGTATTACAGTATTTCAGTCCTAGAGAAAGAGTCCATTGAGCATCAAGGAAAGAAAAAGCAAAACTTTCAAGAGAAAAAGCACCATGTTGGGCTCAAACTTTTCTATATACACCATTAAACTGGTACTAATCGATCAATACTTATGTGCACATATGGAAGTAACATTCATTAGGGATTGGGCAGGTAGGTGGGGGGAAGAGGGGATGGGTAAAGTCACACCTAATGGGTGTGATGCGTTGTCCGCTGTCTGGAAGATGGGCACACCTGTAGCTTTGACTGGGGGGATGTAAAGGCAATTTATGTGACCAAAGTATTTGTACTCCCGTAATACTCTGAAATGGGAAAAAAAAATAGAAAAATAAATAAAATACCTAACTAAAAAATAAAATAAAATAAAAAATAAAGTAAAACATGGTGACTTTTTTATCGTTTAACCCACAAAGGAGACATAAATTTGGTAACAAAAGAAAATGCACATGAAACCTAAATAGAAAATGAGCTATAACGGGTGACTGGCCCATCAGGCAATAGAGGGCAACCAACCTGCCAATTATTTCAAAAGGCAATAGTGGGCAACCAATCATTTTAAAGGTCAACGCATGATCCATGCATAGTCAGCTTGTGCGCAGCTTGTGCACCATGGGGATAAAAGGCATGCTGTCGTTCCAGTCGGGGTCCTTGCCTGCGAGAGTGGCCACTGCATTGGTGCGTTGGTGCTCTGAGGCTTGGACCCTGGCTAGCCAGAAAATAAACCTCCTCTTGTGTGATTGCAAAAAAAAAAAAAAAAGAAGAAAAGAAAACAAAATGAGCTATATAAGCAAAATACTTTTTTTCCTGGTTTTGTCAAATAATTTATCCTCAGTGAATAATTTAACTTTTGCTATCATAATCTTTGGTTTACATTCCCACCACTGTTCCTATATAACAAAATTTAAAATCTCTAACACATTAATTTTTCCTAAATCTGTCTCCAAATGTTACATATTACCTTCTTTTCAGATTTGACCAACTAAAGGACTTTGTAACTTAGCTGAATTTGCTTTCCAATATTAAATATTAGGGCCAAGTGTGCCTCAAGCAACCTATACTGAAAAAGAAATATCTTTAGGGAGAGAACTATATTATAAAATAAAGACTTGGCCCGGGCGGTGGCTCATGCCTGTAATCCTAGCACTCTGGGAGGCCGAGGCGGGTGGATTGCTCAAGGTCAGGAGTTCAAAACCAGCCTGAGCAAGAGCGAGACCCCGTCTCTACTATAAATAGAAAGAAATTAATTGGCTAACTAATATATATAGAAAAAATTAGCCGGGCATGGTGGTGCATGCCTGTAGTCCCAGCTACTCGGGAGGCTGAGGCAGGAGGATTGCTTGAGCCCAGGAGATGGAGGTTGCTGTGAGCGAGGCTGACGCCACGGCACTCACTCTAGCCTGGGCAACAAAGTGAGACTCTGTCTCAAAAAAAAAAAAAAAAACAAAAACAAAAACAATAAAATAAAGACTTTAAGATCCAAGAGGACTGGGACTTATTAAAAAAAACAAAACGTTTCTACATAAATGTTCAATGACAGAAGATAAAATGTACTTATAAGAGGAAAAGGATTATCAATGATATTCATTCACATGTAAATGTATCAGATATTCTCAGAAATGTAAATATTAACTACATTGAAAGACTACAGCATTCATAAATTCTTACGGAAAAAAATTGATGAAATCCAGCCAACCAAGAGATGATTTCAAGTAACTCAGGTATGAGGATACTAAAGTATAAAAGAATTAATAATAGAAAACTGAATCTGTTTAAATATAGAATCAAGGCTAAACAACTGTAAAAGAATTAATAATAGAAAATTGAATGTGTTTAAATATAGAATCAAGGCTAAACAACTGTAAGTATTCTAGTTTCAGAAGGAAAGAAATGAACAAAAATCAGTTAGTGAAGATGAACTGTAAATATACTAATTTCCTTGTATCTTATGACAAATATCCAAAATAATGTCAACTTGCTTATTTTTCATCAACTTGCTTATTTTTTAAATATTAACAGATTCTAAATCTGTTTTCACAGGTAAACTTTTTTTAATTATTCCAAGGAATAATTAAATATTTATGTTTTAGAGTTCCCAAAAGCTCTACCAGTAATTATAGAAAAGCAGAAAGGGCTACACGGAATAAAATGAGATGACTAATTTGGGTAAAGCAGAAAAAGAAACTGTAACTGAATATATAGAATCACCATATAAAATTACACCATATAAATTTCAGAATGAACTTGTAAGTCATGATTGGAGAGCTTGTACAACACAGAACTCTCACTCCCTCTAGCTTAACAATTCCACTGCTACAGAGGAATTCCCCTGTTGTTGTACAATAAGACACCTGCGCAAGGATGTTCAGTGCAACATCATCTGTAATAGCAAAAAACTAAAAACAACCTAAGTGTCCATAATAGAATACTGGCTAAACAAATTGTGACAGAGCCACACAATGCCTGCAATAGAATACACTGCAGTTGTTACAAGACATTTGCAAAGATGAAGGTGCATCAATACATACTGACACAGAAAGATATCCATAAGATACAAGGTGAAAAGAACAAGATGCCGAAATAAATATACATGATCTCATTTATTTTTAAACTTTTAGAGCCATATGTATATGTTTCATATAACCAAAGGAAACAAACACTGAATTATTAACAATGCTTAATCCCTAGAGATTGAGAATGAGGGTGGAGTGGGAGGAACAGAGAACTTAACTTTTAGTCACGTATGTCTGTACTTATTGAATACATTTATTATGAGCATGTATTTTTCAAAATTAAATAACAGTAATAAAAAAACCTTATTTAAAAAATATGTCACCCTTTTGAATCATTCAGATGTTTCTATGTAAAGCAGTCAACATAAATACAAAATGTCTACTGGAGCATTTGTTCACACAGATTCAAAACTTTGTAACTTGAAATATCAAAATCTTGAAAACGAAAAAAAAAGACACTAAAAGATAGATGCTAAGGGAAAGATAAAGGAAATTCAAGATCCTGAGAAGAGCTCGTTAACAACTGTACTCTTTCACATGAGATGTAAATCTTCATTTCACTGCCATCATAAAAAAATTAGAGAACTTGATGACATAATGTGCTAACTGAACCACATTTCTTAAAAAGTACATTCTACTTTAGTGGATACTGAGTTCATCTGGGAACCAAGTTCAGCTTTAATTCAGACTCGGAAACTGTTATGTGATAAGTACCTGAGTCACTTAAACTATCTTCTACTTTCAATCTAGATTTCTGTTTTGTAATTTATAGTAATAATGAGAATATTATTTGGGTAGGACTTCAATAAACCACCTTGACCTGCCTTCAGAGAAGCTTCCCCTTATCTTAGTTCCTGCATTATCAAATGTAACATACATAGTTCCAAAACAACAATTTTAGCTATAATATTTTAAGAACTTGAGAAAACTTTCAATATACCTCAATATTATAATAACGAAGTATAGAGAAGCATACTAATGAGTAGGGTACTTTCTAAAGATCAGAGCATTTTCTCAGTGGCAGTGGTGGCAGCACTTATAGGAGCTGAGCTTAAAAATATGTAAATTAGGCCGGGCGCTGTGGCTCACGCCTGTAATCCTAGCTCTTGGGAGGCCGAGGCGGGCGGATTGCTCAAGGTCAGGAGTTCAAAACCAGCCTGAGCAAGAGCGAGACCCCGTCTCTACTATAAATAGAAAGAAATTAATTGGCCAACTGATATATATATAAAAAATTAGCCGGGCATGGTGGCACATGCCTGTAGTCCCAGCTACCCGGGAGGCTGAGGCAGAAGGATCACTCGAGCCCAGGAGTTTGAGGTTGCTGTGAGCTAGGCTGACGCCACGGCACTCACTCTAGCCTGGGCAACAAAGCGAGACTCTGTCTCAAAAAAAAAAAAAAAAAAAAATATGTAAATTACTGTTCTTACTTTGTCCAAATATTTGTACTTACTACATTGCTTCTTTTTAAGCAATCATTAATAGTTAGCCAGTATTTAACTACACAGGGGCAGTGTGTGTCAGTATTATCCTAGAATCAAGGCTGACAGTCATATGCATATGTATTTAAGAAAAAATGGTATTCTATTTTTCCTAAGAATGCATTCACAAAAAGATTACTTATAAAGAAAATATCCCAAAGTTATTAATGTCTTAGGACTTCTATTGAACTCTTGCAAAATTTATCTGACCTTCAAATGATTCTTTATACTGGACAATATTTGGATGCTTCATGTTTGCCAACACTGCAACTTCTCTCCTTGATTCTTCCCTTTCTTTACTGGACATCTTAAATGGAAGGAAAAAGAAAATAATAAAACATTAATAACCTAAAAGTCCATCAATAAGGGAGTAGTTAGGCCAAGTGTAGTGGTTCACACTTGTAATCCTAGCATTCTGGAGGCCAGGGTGGAGGATCCCTTAAGGTCAGTAGTTTGAGATCAGCCTGAGTAAGAGTGAGACTCTATCTCTACGAAAAATGGAAAAATTAGCTGGGCTAGTGGTGTGTGGCTGTAGTCCCAGCTACTCAGGAGGCTGAGGCAGGAGGATCACTTGAGCCCAAGAGTCTGAGGCTGCAATGAGCTATGTCAACGTCACTGCACCCTAGCCTGGGCAACAAAGCAAGATCCTATCTAAAAAAAAAAAGTAGTTAAAAAATAATGGTACCAATATAGTCCAAACAACAAAATATAGCAAGAAGTTAAAAAGAATGAACTGAATCTCCAAGAAAAACATTTTAAGATGTCCAAATTAGATTAAGTTATAGAACAATAGGTATATTTTTCTAAACACAAGCACATGAACACAAGCACACATCACAGACAATATCTGAAAGAATATGCAGACTATACTGAAATTAGCAGTTGTCTCTGGGATTACAGCACTTCTTTCAGTTTGGGTTATGCTTTTTGTTTTAAGTTCTCTAACAATGAGCCCTACTGTAACTAAGCTATTATTTGTGTATCCAAACTAAAAATATACTTACTTTAGAGATATTAATTTCCTTGATGACATACTGCCTGCCATCTTCTGTAGATTTAACAAGAACGGCTTTTCCAAATGAACCTTCTCCAATCTTCTGTAGTCTAACATACTTCTCCATGGTTCTTTTTCTAAGGCATCTTTACAGATATGCTAGACATTAAAAAAAAGTTAACAGTTAAAAGAGATAAAGCATGTCTTTTATAACAAATATAATGTTTAATTTAAATTCTACTTCCTTAGTCACTTGCTAACTTTTTTAAAAAAAGATATTTAACATCTTTACTGAAACCAAAATAACCTTTATCTCAATTTTACTCATGCAATCTACTTATACCTAAAAAGAGAAAACCATACAAAAGCTTCCTATGAGTCAAGAAAAAAAAAGAAAAAAATAAAAATAAAAATAAAAAGAGAAAACCAAATAGTGACATTTCCATTTTATAAGAATGCTCTGAAGAGCCAAATACTAGATATATTTAACATGTATGGAGAGAAAGGCAAACTTTTTCCTACATGAATTAATTAGTAGCATTACTTTATTATCTCCACTAATCTCAATAAGAATGCAAGTTTAATAAGATACTATTAATATTTCCCAAAGTTATTTAACTAATACCCCCATTTTTTTTGAGACAGAGTCTTGCTCTGTTGCCCTGGCTAGAGTGCCATGGCGTCAGCCTAGCCCACAGCAACCTCAAACTCCTGGGCTCAAGTGATCCTCCTGCCTCAGCCTCCAGAGTAACTGGGACTACAGGCATGCACCACCATGCCCGGCTAATTTTTTCTATATATTTTATTTTTTTATATAGAAAAATATATTTTCTATATATTTTATTTTTTTCTATATTCTATATATTTTGACCAATTAATTTCTTTCTATTTTTTTTTTTTTGAGACAGAGTCTCGCTTTGTTGCCCAGGCTAGATTGAGTGCCGTGGCGTCAGCCTAGCTCACGGCAACCTCAAACTCCTGGGCGCAAGCAATCCTCCTGCCTCAGCCTCCCGAGTGGCTGGGACTATAGGCATGTGCCACCATGCCCGGCTAACTTTTCCTATTATATTAGTTGGCCAATTAATTTCTATTTCTAGTAGAGACGGGGTCTCACTCTTGCTCAGGCTGGTTTCGAACTCCTGACCTTGAGCAATCCGCCTGCCTCGGCCTCCCAGAGAGCTAGGATTACAGGTGTGAGCCACTGCGCTCAGCCTCTTTCTATTTTTTTAGTTCGAGATGGGGTCTCATTCTTGCTCAGGCTGGTTTCGAACTCCTGACCTTGAGCAATCCACCTGCCTTGGCCTCCCAGAGAGCTAGGATTACAGGGGTGAGTCACCCCGCCCGGCCTACTAATCCCCTTTTATTAGACATTTAAATTGTGTAAAATGTTTGCTATTATAGAACTTTAGATAAAATTTCTGTACATACATTTTAATATACTTACTATAAGAATTTCCTTAGGAAAAATTCTAAATTCAAAGAATATGCCCATGTTAAAGCTTTCAAACATGTTACTTAAGTGTCTTAAAATGTCTACTAATTTATATTCTAAACCAGTAATATATAAAAGTGTCTGCTCCTAGATAACCTTATTAATAGTGATTATTATTTACTGAATAAAATCTTTCAGAGCCCATAAAGGGTAGTAGATAAAGAGCACTAAAACTTTAGAGTCAGAGAGCTTGGATTTAAACTCTAGCTTTATCCCTTGCTATGTGATCTTGGGGAAGTTACTTATCTTTATGTGCCTCAATTTGTTCATCTGTAAAATGTGTATAACTACAGTACATACTTACAAAACTGCTGAGAGGATTAGTTAATTTAAGTGATGTACTGAGAACGGTGCCTGACACATAGTGAGCACCGTGTTACTATGTTGTTGCTGTTACTACTCATTATACTTGATGGGGAAAATGGTGTTTTATTTTTATTTGAATTTTTTTTTCTTAGCAGTGAATTTGAAAAATTCTTCCACATTTATTAAACATTTGTATTGCTTCTTTTTTGAACTATTCATCCATGTTCTTTGTCCATTTTCTACTGGGATAGTCTTCTTTTTATTAATTTATAAAAACTCCTTATGTAATGAAGCCGTTATCTGTCATAAATGTTTTTTTCTCTTCTATTTGCCTTTTAGTTTTATTTAAACATAAAAGTCTATTTGGATGTGAACAAATTTATTAATCTTTCTTTACATTCCTGCTTTTGGTATTATACTTAAGTCTTAATATACCAAGATAATTGATTAAGGTCATTAGTAGTACTGCTTTAGCAACAGTAATGTTAGGAGAGTGGTAATTTCAGGAGAAGCCTGAGTATAATACACTAGGTAGTAAAAGCTAAAAAAAACAGTGAGAGAGAGCAAGTAAGAAAGTCATAAAAGCAATAATCTGTATGGCACACTGGCAAATCACCAAAGACATATGTGAAACACTATGTTAATCTGAAACTAATGAACATTTAATTCACCCAACTTGCTCTCTTCTATTTCCATTCACAGCAAGTAAGTAGGCTTCCAGGAATGATTTCCTTCTAGGAGAAAATGAGCTTGTCATGAAACTCTTAATTTCTGTGACTGTTGACCATATTTCTCATTGTAAATTAATAAATCCATGTTTTCATCTACCCATACTAAATTTGTTTAGTTTTATTTTGCCTGCAAAAAATGATCCAATATTCTTAAATGACAAACATCACATTCTGGACCTGCAAGAGTAAGGTCAGAACACAGCCTCTGGTAAAACTGATGTGAGAATTATGCCTTATGAAATTTTGTGGGAGCCTTTCTATACCTTATAAAACATTATAACCATTTTCCATTTCAAAATTTCTGTAAGAAATGAGAATGTCTTTAGCAAACTGAAGAAAAACAAGAAATGGGCCATTATCTTAGCATTATAGCATCATCTGTGAGTTAAATAAGAAAGTCATTCCAAACATATTTTCAAGTCCAGGTTGTGTCAACTGGCATAATATAATGGCTATGTAGGCATCAGCCAAAATTTAATGATTTCTTCAGGACACGAGAGTTTATTATATTACATTAGTATGTTACTTAGAAAAAAAATCAAGATAAACTCATCTTCAAAAACTAAATTTCATCAATTAAATGACAGTAAATAACCACATAATAAGATTATTTCACAGCCATCATTATTCTGTCACTTTTTGCTAAGAAAGGAAAAATAAAATTAGTCAATTTGGCCCTTTCTCAAAATTTAGTCACCAATTCCTTTCTAGGGACCACACCAAAAAGATGTGCACTCCAAGAGTCCCTCCCTAGTACTGCATTCTACTGCCAACTACATTACTGAGCATTGTGCTTCTGATTAACTTAGTAAAGCAGAATAAAATTGACTGCCCCTGGTAGTGAAGAAAGATGACTCTAATTGCCATTAAATGATGTCAAGCATAGATACCTTCTGAACAATGAAAGACTTGTGGTAGATGAGTTTCAGAACAACTTATAAGCTCTCCTTCTCTATAGAGTTAAAGTACATTAGAGGAAGTAAAGGGGAAAACATGAAAAAATAGATTACTTTCAGTGTCTTACAACATATTTAATCAAGCTACTTATTTCCTAGTTATGAACTTCTTAGAAAATTTTTCAAACCAAATGAAATAAAAGATAACAAAATGTACTACCACCTACAAATTTTCTTCCATATACAAAATTATCATAACATATAACTGAAGGAACATAAGAATCCTGCCCTAATTTCCTTATTGTAATAAACTCAAATTATAAATAAAGGTCTGCCTTTTCTATGCTTCAGCTTTCAACATCAAACAAAAGTCACAATACCAACTTGACTCACTCTACAGATTCTTAAGGTCTCTAACAATTATATCAACTTAATCTCTATAACACATATCTGATATTGAAGATTTTCAAAAAGCACAAAATCAGAGATGTGAATTTTTCAAAGAGTTATGTGTGGAATTTCAAAGAGTTATGAAACAGTGAATTCAGGATCAAGAGAAAAAACTAGCTACAAAACCAAAAACTAACCACCTGACTTCTCTGGGCTTTAGTTTTCTTTATCTAAAAACACTAAAGATTTAAACATAATGCTATCTTAAAGACCTTACCAACTCTAATAGTCTATGACTCAAGGATAAGAAAATAAAAAAGTAGGACAGAACATGAGAAACTTCAACACTGTGTAGAATTGTACTATTAGCCACAAAGAGTACAAATGATGGAAAAATATGGCCAAAGCCTTTCCAACAAAAAAATCAAAAGAAGTCATGACAACACTTTCTTTAGCATAATTCTTTAAAAAGTAAAAAAATAAAGGGCAACTTACAGTTAAACATAACAGATTGAACATACACATTTACCTCTACTTCTTCCCCAAACCTAACTAACATGACTTTAAAAGGATCAAAAAGGCAGAACAGGAAGGCAGGCAACAGCAATACAATTCTGGAAGCTGGCAAACTCAAGAAGCAGCAGCACCCGACTTAGTAGACTACAGAAAACTGTACTCTAAGCCAGCAGTGGGAAATAAGTCAAGTCCTTCCCCAAAGCAGCTCAATAACTGGAAGCATCAGATGCATCTGAGAGCGACGATAATATTAGGACTAAAACAGAATTGTGTAAAAGCCTGTGTAAGGAGCCGTCAGACACTCAGTTTGCCTCCTCCACCTCTCCCGTCTTGGCAGAAGACTGAGATATCTCTAGATTGGGCACAGCAGGCACAGCTGAGAATGAAAACGCCATCTAAGATCTGGGAGAGTAAGTGAAAGTTTACATAATAAATGAAAGTGAGACTATGTTCCGATTATAATGCCGTAGCTAGTATCAGACCATTCTACCTCCAAAAACAGTTTAAAACCTGAATAAAATGTATAAAACAACAGATAGTAATTGAGGGGCTATAATCATCAAAAGATGGACTTTATATTCACCCAGCCTTTTTTCCCCGAAGACATTTTCCAAACTGTGCCATAGTACAACGGAGCTCAAATATAAAGCAGCAGTTGTACTATGCTCAGGAAAGAAAGAGGTAAGAATTCAGGGGTACCACAATCCTGGATTGGAGTAAAAAGAATAAAATCAGTTCAAAACTCTGCAAATAAATTCCATCCTGTCAACCTGTTCCTAAGCTTGTACTATGGGGCAAGACTAAAGCAGACTAGTCCTAACAAAGTCTAAAAGCAACCACTGACAGGATCAAGCTTATTCAATGATACTTTATCAGCCTGCCAAAACAGAATAATTTTTACAAGATACATGTTTCAGAGCCTCTATAGAAGCTCTATGGACATTTTCATTCATGATGTCCAGTATCCCATCAAAAAATAATGAAGCATGTTTAAAAATCACGCCTGTAATCCTAGCACTTTGGGAGGCTGAGGTGGGAAGATCACTTGACATCAGGAGGAGTTTGAGACCAGCCTGAGTGAGATCCCTTCTCTACAAAAACTAGAAAAATCAGCTGAGCGCGGTGGCACGCCTATAGTTAGCTACTCAGGGGCCTGAGGAAGGCTGGGCGTGGTGGCTCACACCTGTAATCCTAGCACTCTGGGAGGCTAAGGCGGGTGGATTGCTCAAGGTCAGGAGTTCGAAACCAGCCTGAGCAAGAGTGAGACCCCTGTCTCTACAATAAACAGAAATAAATTAATTGGCCAAGCTCGGTGGCACATGCCTGTAGTCCCAGCTACCTGGGAGGCTGAGGCAGCAGGACTGCCTGAGCCTAGGAGTTTGGGGTTGCTGTGAGCTAGGCTGACACCATGGCACTCACTCTAGGCTGGGCAACAAAGCGAGACTCTGTCTCAAAAAAAAAAAAAAAAAAAAAAAGGCTGAGGCAATAGGATTGCTTGAGTAGAGGACTTTAAAATAACCATGATTGATATGTCTAATAAAATAAGAGAAAAAGATAGACAAAGAAATTTTTTAACTACTTTGGTATGGTACTCGTCGGCCGCAAAACCTCGCCCACAGCCGCACTCACAGTCCACACAGTAGTCTGTGCTGTGCATTGAGGACGCATCTGTTTGCTCTTGTGTGACGAGGAAAGCTTTAAAGCACTGAAAGCTTGTTTTACTTCACAGGCAGCTTTACTAGTAATGTAAATCAGAATATGTAATATATACATATATGTTTTTATTACGTTATTTTTAAATGTTCACAATTTTATTTTGATAAATGAAAAATTAGAAAAGTCAAGTTTTGTTATTAATGCTAAAGTCGACGCTTGGCTGTGCGCGTTCATCTGTGGCTGTTGACTATAGTCGACACTCATACCGAAGTGGTTAAAAGTGGAGAATTCAAAAAAGAATTAAAATTTATTTTTAAAAATCAAGTGGAAATTCTAGAACTGAAATATAAAATATCTGAGATTAAGAACTCATTCATGGCTTTTATAGCAGATAGGAAGGACACAGTAGAAGGTAGTCAAATTAGACATCTTTCCTCACACTTAACTAAGAATTTTGCTGGGTGTGGTGACTCACCCCTATAATCCTAGCACTTTGGGAGGATGAGGTAGGAGGACTGCTTGAGGACAGGAGTTGGAGACCCTGTCACTACAAAAAAATTTTAAAAATTAGCTGGGTGTGGTTGTTATACCTATAGTCCCAGCTACTCAGGAAACTGAGGCTCAGTTGTACTCCAGCCCTGGTAACAGAACATAAGCTAAAATTTTGTCTACTGTATATGAAAAATGTCAGAGTATATGAATGAAAATCTACTCCCATCACTCTGGAACACATGCTGATAAGGCATTAAGCCCTCATCAGCTGTTTCAGATATTTGATGGGCGGATTGTATTGAAGGGAAAAACATTGGTAATGGAATGCCACAGATTTCAAGAAGTCTTTTGGCACTGTCTGGAGCTACAATCCATACATACGGTTCTCCCATAACAATAAATGCCGTTTTGAATTGTGGAAAAGGGTCAAGGAGGAAAGTCACTTCTTTATATCTCATAACTCAAAAGAATAGAAAGTAAAATGGGATTCCTATTAGACTTTTTTCAAAATATTTGTTTTTCTTCTAAGTCTATTCAGAAAATACTCAACAGATTCTGTAGCGGCAACTACCAACATGTAAATAAAGAATTTTATATTTGCGAAAAAGTATCACGTTCATGGCTTACATTAGAAGGCAGCATAGACAGTGAAATTTACTTAGAATACAATGTATTATTAACATGACCTCAAAAGAACTCCTGTGGTCAAGTTCCATAACCTTTACTAAATTCCTGTCAGGGACTTTTGCTGTACAAAAACCTGTTTTCCCACAAAATAGGCTTCTTACATTTCACCCAGAACAATGGCAATTTTAAATGGAACAGACCTGTAGATCCTCTAATACCGGACAAATCTAAACTAGAAACAAAGAACTACTTCTCTCCACATTGGCTCCCTCCACCAGCTCTACAATACTGCTGCATCATAAGAAAAGGCCATCATTAGCTCAGACTGGATACTACTTTCAATCCTGCATAAATATTTCTAATGTAATTTACCAAGGCAATAAAAAATATTTCTCCTTCTTAGAGATCTTACATTAGGGAATAAAAAACAGGCCTGTATAAAAAAATAATTATGTAAAATCTTAAAGGAGAACTTCTGATGCCTTACATATGCAAAGTATGTCAAATCATGGAAACTGAAATATAAGATTATAGGGTAATCAGTTAACTGCTACTCATTTTCTCCTAATTAAAATGTGCACGCAATTTATGATTGGAGAAAACATACAAGCAATTTAAACGATGGCTTATCCATATCAAGGTTTCTATTATTTTAATTCCATTAACACTGTAGCTTTTTAAAACACTGCAACAGCTAAGGACGGCTTTGTAATACAAACAGTCCCTCAGCGAATTAAAATTTCAATGAGATGAAGGTATTTTCCCTGCAAATACTTAAGGTATCCCTGCGATCTCTACAGAAGCAAGTCTAAGGAGGTCTCCTCATTTCCAGGATGATTTTTACCATTTTGCATGTCATTGCTTCCCCCAAGTGCAACTCACCTCAACGACACAGGACTGTGGCAGGAATAACGGTGGGGATCCAGAAGCATCAGTCTAGGCGCGGCAGTCTTCCTGCGGGGCTCTAAGGCAGGGGTGCCGTCCCGCAGTTTGACAATGACATCCTGAAAGAGAAACCAAGTCTGTCCAAGCCGCGGCAGCTCGCAGCCCACACTGGAAGGGGCGCCGCGACTCGCACACCTGACGCCCCTCGTTACTCGGCACTTCAGGTGTGACGGTCCTGCCCCGGCCAGCTCCCGTAGGGCAGGTCCATGCCACCGCGACAAAACAAACAAACCGGTCCCGAGCCCCTGGAAACGGCGGGCGGCAGCAGGGGGAGTGCCCCGTCACCGCCTCTCCCGCCCCACACGGGACGCCGCGGCGCGGTCAGGGACGGGCGGCCCTGGGGACCGCGGGGCCACCTGGCTGCCGTGTCCTCCGGCCTCGCCGCGCCGGCTCTGGATTCAGGGACACCGGGAAAACCGCTCGGGACTCCAGCCCGAGGGCTCCGCACACTGGCGCCCCAGCACCCTGGAGCGAGCGCGGACGGCGGGGGAGCGGCCGGCGCGTCTCCGGCGCTGGCGTGTGACGTCAGCGCGCGCAGCCGGCGCGCCGCGAGCCCGGGAGGGAGCCGGGAGGCCAGGGTAAAATTTTCCCACGCGTAACTTGCAAGAAAACGGACTTTTTTTTTTTTTTTTTTTAAACTTGAAAGCTTACTAAGGCATGCCACACTTTTTTCTTTTTTTTTTTTTTTTTTTGAGACAGAGTCTCGCTTGTTGCCCAGGCTAGAGTGAGTGCCATGGCGTCAGCCTCGCTCACAGCAACCTCAAACTCCTGGGCTCAAGCAATCCTGCTGCCTCAGCCTCCCAAGTAGCTGGGACTACAGGCATGCGCCACCATGCCCGGCTAATTTTTTATACACGTATTTGTAGTTGTCCAGCTAATTTGTTTCTATTATTTTTAGTAGAGACGGGGGTCTCGCTCTTGCTCAAGCTGGTCTCGAACTCCTCAGCTCAAATGATCCTCCCACCTCTGCCTCCCAGACTGCTAAGATTACAGGTGTGAGCCACCGCGCCCGGCCTCGGGTTGCCACATTTTTTAAAAGTAATTTTGCTTTAGCCTTTTTCTATTATATTTTGGATGATTAAAGCAAGGAAGTATTTTCAAGTTTGAAATTTTAAAAAAAGCTATGTTTTCTACACCTTTACATCTGTGTATAAATTACTTATATATTGAAGTGTTTGGCAGTATACAGTAGCCTGAGTACTTTACAACAAGGGATACAATCTGGTGTCATTTTGAGTAGCCCTACTCAGTGACCCACTGAGCTGCTGGGTTGCCTTGTCTGGAGTAACCTGGAGATCCTGGAGAATCCGAACTCGAAGCTGACGCAGGGTGGCTTGCATGCTAACTTAGTTGCCCTCCACGCTGTACCTGTTTTACAAGCTGGATGTTGGTTTCTGAGGTGGAGAGACCACAGACTTTGCCAGAAGTCTCATAAGTCAAATGATTCAGATCTTTGCTTAAAAAAAAAAAAAAAATCCACCTCCTTCTTCCCCAATCCCTCCCCAACACACCACACTACCAGGACATCTCTGGGTTCTTCCAGTCTTCCCTTTAGCTGTCTTGTAAGAAATACTTTATTCCTACCATGGGAAGTGAAAGTTTTGGGCTTTTTTTTTTTTTGCCAGAAGATGGCACTGCAAGTCACCCAACCTGGCAAGCTGGAGAAAAAAATCTGCCTTGGTTTATCTCCTCTTCAGTTTCCTTACAGCTACAGAAGACTTATTTTCCTCAGTTTTTCCACTTCTAGACTACCTTCTGGTGGGCCCTCCCACCTCCAGTTAGTCAGTAGGAATTTTGGTGTCTGAATGCACAATAACTCCAGTTCTACCCACATCCCTTTGTATAGCAAAGTGACATGAAAACATTGCCAGTTGCTAATCTAGGCGAATTCTTTTTTGCTGCTTACAGGAATAATGGCTAGTCTGATACATCCTTAGATAATTCTTTGGGCTTCTGTCATAAACTGTTGGTGGGAATATAAAATGCTACTGCAGTCTTTCTAGAAGGCATGCTAGCAATATGCATATCCTTTGACTCAGCAATTTTATTTCTAGAACAAGTGGGCAAAGATGTAATACAAGGATAACCATTATTGATTATAACCGCAAAAACCAGAAACAGTGTAAATGTCTAACAATAAAGAAGTGCTTAAATAAATTATAATATATCCAAACAATGGAATACTCTAAAGCCATAAAAAAAGTGGGATCATTTTTATTAACATAGAAAGACGCCCTTGATATACTGTTGAGTAAATAAAGCAGGTTTCTCTACCTAAGAGGATTACCTGATGATTTCCCTTTCTGGTTATATACCTTCATATAGTTTAATGTTTTTTATTTTTACACAAAACAGTTTTGGATTTCTTTGATTTTAATTATTTTATTGGATTTTTCTTTCAAACAAAACAGTTATTGCCTCTTGCACAACCCTAAAGGACAAGTGTACAAAGATAAAGCCTGCAATCTCTATCCCCAGAGCTTACCTCTGTGCTCTCCTGTGAAACCAACGTGAACAGTTTCACGAGTATCATCTACATTTTTCTCTAAGTTCATAAAAACATAAGTAAGCATGTATTGTGGTTCTTTTGCTTCACATGGCTTCAGCTGGGATCACTCACTTAGCATCATTTAGCTAGCAATCATGCTGGAGATGATCGTCCAAGAAACTTCACTCACGCCTGTAATCCTAGCACTCTGGGAGGCGAGGCAGGCAGATCACTCAAGGTCAGGAGTTAGAAACCAGCCTGAGCAAGAGCGAGACCTGTCTCTACTGAAAATAGAAAGAAATTAATTGGACAACTAAAAATATATAGAAAAAATGAGCCGGGCATGGTGGTGCATGCCTGTACTCCCAGCTACTCGGGAGGCTGAGACAGGAGGATTGCTTGAGCCCAGGAGTTTGAGGTTGCTGTGAGCTGGGCTGACGCCATGGCACTCTAGCCCTGGTAACAGAGTGGTGAGACTCTGTCTCGAGGAAAAAAAAAAAAAAAAAGGAAACTTCACTCACATCTGGTGCCCTACTGCTACTCCAGAATTCTCTCCACATAGCGAGCTTGGGTTTTTCACAACATTGTGGTCTCAGGGTAGTCACACCTCTTACATAACAGCCGGCTTCAAATAAGGAAGACGCAGACGTTGCCAGTCCTTTTAAAGGCTAAGCCAGGAGCAAGTATGGCATCACTTCTGCCACACTCTTGGTCAAAACAAGGTTCAAGGCCGGAAAAATTTACAAGAAGGGGAAGGATCAATGGTGGCCATCTATGGAAACTATCTACCATATCCTGGATTACTTTTCAGGTGTTTAAGAAATTCACATTCCCTTCTTTTTTACTGTTTGCTGATGTGTAAGAAAGTAAAATTAAAAATTAAAGTAAGAAAATTAAATAAATTCAAAAAAATTTAAAAAACGAAATTCACATTCCCAATAGCTTTGTGCAAAAAGTGCCTATTTCCACAAGCACTAGATAGTTCTCTCTTAATTTTGCAAAAATGTTAAGTTTCCTCCCTTCTCTTTCATATCCTTTTCCCCCTTTCTATCAAATTATCTGTTTATCAGTTTGTAGGAGTTATTTGTAAAATACAAAAATTAGCTGTTTGCCATGTTGTGGAACAAATGTTTTCTGCTAGTCTCACAATAATGTTTTGGTTTGTTTTATGGTATCTTTGGCCATCCAGAAATTTGTACGTGGTTAATCTTGTCAGTCTTTGTCTTGCCAAGCAGATACTCCTTCACCCCCAAAGTTATCCAAATAATCTAAATGTTCATGTGTCTTAATATCTTCAATGCATTTGAAACTTCATATATGATTAACATAGGAAAACTAGCTTTGTCTTCTTTTAGAAGAATACTAGTTATGCCAGAATAATTTATTAAATGTGGTTTCCTTTTCCACTAATTTGAAATATAACCTTTATCACATATTAAATTTACTATTTATATTTGTCTCTATTTCTAGATTTCTCTTCTATTTACTTATTGATCTCATTTATCTTTGTCATTTGAAAAATAAGTTTGTTTTAATAATCAAAAAATACTATGACAGTATTTAGATTTTGAAAAAAAAGAAATGCCAACAGTAAATTTTTTTTTTTTTTTTGAGATAGAGTCTCACTGTTGCCCTGCCCAGGCCAGAGTGCCGTGGCATCAGCCTAGCTTATAGCAACCTCAAAATCCTGAGCTCAAGTGATCCTTCTGCCTCAGCCTCCCAAGTAGCTGGGACTATAGGCATGTGCCACCATGCTGGCTAATTTTTTCTATATATTTTTAGTTGGCCAATTAATTTGTTTCTATTTTTAGTAGAGACAGGGTCTCGCTCTTGCTCAGGCTGGTTACAAACTCCTGACCTCGAGCGATCCACCCCCCCCCAGCCTCCCAGAGTGCTAGGATTATAGGTATATGCCATAGCGCCTGGCCAAATTATTATAATTTTAATAGATCTATGATACTAAAGATGGTTATAAAGTTATACTTATGTGCCTCTTTTCTAGAAAAAATGAAAATTTCTTTAACCTTTATTAATAGTGGTAGTACAATATGACAAGAGGAAAGGGATGAGCAGTATTCCTAAGGAGTTCTTCTACTAGAGATTTTTCAGAAATATATTCTTTCATACATTCACAATGAATTCAGCATTATGCTAGATGATGTAGCCAAACACAGTCAAGGCATGGGTATTGTTATATGTACTTTCCAGAAAGCAGGCAGCAAACTGAAACAAATTAGAGAATAATTTAAGGCAAATGATTGTCTGTAAAACTACACTGAAAATTTTTCTTTTGTGAAGTATTATGTAAATAATTTCATTAAAAGACCATGTATTTGATTAAATTATCCTGACATATAATCTTTTGTGCTTGGAGAAGAGAAGGGCCTAAAACATTAAATATGACAAAAAGCATTCTCTAAACTCCAAATCTCTTGCAGACATGTGATATTCAAATCCAAGAGAAAAAAAAAACGTTCATGTCTTGGCATTTAGTGTTTCATCTTGCTACATTCTAGGAGAGGAAATTTTAGTTTTAAGTCACATTCCTAAAAGTCTACTCTATCTAGCCTTATGTTGTTTGAACTAACCATTAACTATGTGTAGCTAGGACTTAAACTGTAGCAGCCTGCTGAATTTCTGGATCTTAATCTGGCAGGCCTAGCACAATATGCAAGGTAAACCATTATCTAGTCAGTTCTTGAGTTTCTGGCTTTCTGAATAGGATCACATGTAAGGGCTCATAGAAAGTCAGCTATCTGGAGAGTGATCATAATTTATTTCTAGGAAGAATAAAACAAAACATTGAGCCCTTAGCTGTGCAGAGCCTGAGAAAGGAGTCACTTTATGAGATTGCTTTCAAAATGTGCTTAGATGAAATAGCTGAGTGTATCAAGTCCCACTGAGGCTCAGACGAGAGTTTTGTAGGAAAGAATCGCACAATACAGGAAGATTGTTTGCTATGTCAGACGCCTCAAAATGCAATCAGAAGTGCAAAGCTATTTTAGGTTACTTCATGTTATCTTTGGGGAAAAGACAAAGGAGAAGAAAAGGTTATTTTAAAATACTTCCCTGATGCTGGTGGCATTGGAAAGAAATTCTAGACTAGAACCATGCTACTGTTTTCCTAATAGAACATCTTAACCCCGTCCACTTCCTCTTTCCAATGTGTATGAAACAAGCAGTAAGATCAAATTTCTTTTTCTGAAACAACTTATAAATACATGGAGCAGATCTATATAGCCTTGTTTCTCTGGTTTTCTGTGAAACTTTGTAAAAACATATTTTTTAAGTTGTTATGGGAAATAATCCTACCTCCAGGTTTTTTACTTCAAGAAAAGCTCAGAGATACTTGACTGGATCCAGGGAACAAGAATTTAGAAGAAACTGAGATATGATTCCAAGTGCTCTTTTTGACTTTGTTTGCTAGTTCCATAAAATAGCGCTATAATATACAACCTGCCACTCCCAGAGTGGTAGAATTGCTGGCAGAGGGAAAGGTTTTTACTACCTCCAATCACCGGTAATGCCTACCATTTTTTTCTCTTGTTTGTCTCTGACATGGTACCAGCAATAACTAGTTAATAGCTATCCTAGACCTGGTTGTAATAAACTCTTACCACTGTGAGTCAATCTTTTCCTTCTTTTACTTTCTTTAAGGAGCTAAGGGTTTTGTTGATGGTTTGAGTGAGGGGAAGTAGAGCTAATTTGAATATTGGTAGAGTTTTTGTTTTTATTACTTAAGCTCAGTTCTAACCAAACAAATCAGATTTAAAGTAGAAGAAACTGACCTTATTCACATAACTTGTTTTGCTATGTCTTCAAAGTACTGAGGGCTCATACCCCCCACCCCCAGGATATTGCTCTGTTGCCCATTCTGGAACACAGTGGCAGTCATAGCTCACTGCTACCCCCAACTCCTGGCCTCAAGCGATCCTCCTGCCTCAGCCTACCAAGAAGCTAGGAGTATAGGCACACACCACCATGCCCCGCTAATTTTTTAAAAATCTTTTTGTATAGACAGGGTATCGCTCTGTTGCCCAGACTGGTCTCAAACTTCTGGCCTCAAGGGATCCTCTTAGTATGCTTTTTAAAATGCACACTAAGACCATCCATAGTCAAAAGATGAATTAAGCACCCCGTGGTGGAAATGGAAGGATAACAGATCCCTGAAGGTGTCCACCTCCCCATCCCAGGAGCCAGTGATTATATCTGGTTACATGGCAAGGGGGAATTATATGATATGAGAATGCCTCAACCCACCAGTCGTTGGCTTTGAAGATGGAGGAGGGGAGCAATAAACTACAGAATTCAATTGACCTCAAAAGTGGATTCTCCCTTAGAGCCTCTTAAAGGAAACAGACCTGCAAACACCTTGATTTAAACCAGTTACACCCATATCAGACTTCTACCCTATAGAACTCTAAAATAATACATTTGTATTGTTTCAAGCCACTAAATTTGTGGAATTTGTCTCACTAGCAGAATACTAATACAAACTCCTCCTAAGGTTCTAGTAACAGCTGTTTAGAGTATGGACATCAGCTGGGCTGTTAAGCCTTTTTGTGTGGTAAAAGCCCACAGTGGGGTCTGTAAAACTCCTCACACCCTTTCTAAAGTAAGGGATCTGGTAAAAACCCCAATTAGGATCCTTTCTGTAACACTGCTGTGAAGGAATGAGATCAAGCTCAAAGTATTCACATTACAGCATTTAAAATGTTCCACACATCTGGCTGTGGTCCTTACCCTGTGTTTCCTTCCATCTAAGTCCGTTGAAGAGGCGATTCAGCACTAACAGATTCTCTGACAAAAATACCAATGGAATTAGAAAATTCTTTCCCAGATGCAACCTATTGTTTCATCACTAAGCTATCACACACCACATTGTTTAAATATATTGTCCCATGTCTCATGTAGTGCTTCTGACTGAGCCCTGTGAGTGAGTTAGGGAAAATTAAATACAGGGATGCTCAGGCCCGACCTTGGAATAATAAAAACAACATTTCTTAGTGGGACCTAAGCAAAGGTATTTTTTTTGAAGTTCCCTAGGTGGTTCTGATGCAAAGTAAAAATGGAGAACTACTGGTGTGATAGTAATGTATGCCAGAAACCATGACTTTTATAATAAACAAGTTCTTATAAAAGAATAAGCTAGTGCATAATATGATACCACAGAAAACCAAATGTACAAGTAGAATTGTTCTTGCACACTTAAAAGAGTTCCTTGGGCTAATCCTCCATGAAGAAACTAAGACACTACCCTAAAAGGATTTTTATCCTCATAGGAAGCAGATAAGACCGATTGACAGACTGTGACTACTGTTTACTTTTCTCGAAATCGACGTGCTTCTTTCCAAAATTAGGCTACATATCTGTAATGAGAGGAGAAAATATATGCCTGCAGATCTCTTGTGAAAAATTCCACTTAGTTTAGAAAACTTTTTGCTTGCTTTTCCACATTTTCTAAAAAGCATCTAAGAAATTTGCCCAACAGCATGCCAAGTAAGAGAAAACTGTGCTTGGATATTACCGTGATTCCACAAATTCTACCTTGATAAAAGTAATGAAAGAAGTTAGATACTTGACTGCATTGTGACCACCCTCATCATCACCATGGGCACTGCACCAGCTCGGAAGCCCAGGACTGTATTGTTTGAGAATATTCAACTCTTTCCTAGAAGAAAAGAAAGAAGATGGACAAAACTCATGCATTAAGCACAGATGTTACTAACCTGCAAGACAGATTAAGTCCATAGAGCACATACACATAAATACAGACAGAAAAGGCTGGAGAGACCAACACACACTTAATATTCATGAGGTATGAAATACACTAGAGGCACTTAATATTCATTACTATCAATGTATATTCATGATATACTAAATATACAGGAGACCAAACATTCACAGGCCGTAATTCTGCCACCTGGTGGTGACACTCAACCTGGCCCCACCTGTCCTGCCCGAGAAGCGGAGACCTGCACCTGTGCCTGCTCACAGGCGCGCCCCTGCGTCGGAATACAGCTCCTTGAACGCGGGGATCGGGACGACTGAATTCCGTGACACACACTAGGAGCTCAATAAATGTTTGCTAAACGGAAAAGGCTCGATTCAGACCGTGCAGAAACCCCAAATTACATATTTTCTCCAAATACTTAATTTCCAAGCATTATTTGTGGAAATCTGTGACGGCTAAATTCGGGGTACGAGGGTTTTTTGTACGCATGTTAGGCACATAGCCGGCGACACGTAAGGCGCGGTGACACCACCGCCGTCCCCGCCGCGCGGACCGCCGAGCACCGGGCATTCGGCGGGGTAAACGCCGCCGCCCGCCGCCTCTCTCCGCCCAGGCTTTGGGAGCTGGCGCTCGTGGACGGCCGCCTTTGCGTCCCACTCCGAGGCCCAAGCTCGCCGGCGTGTCGCGAGCTGTTCCCGCGCGGCGGTCTCCCTGGGGCGCGGACTCCACTCCGCGTGACTCCGGCCGGCCGGCGCCTGGGCCTTCCGAAATCGCCGCCCTCAGGGCGGCCGCTCGGTCCTTCCGCGAGGTCACCGGCGGGGCAGACCGAGACGCGCGAGTGACGTCATTAATCACCAAAGAGACGCCCCACGGCCGGGCCCGCCCCCGTCCCCACGCCGCCCAATGGGCGTCGCCGCGGCTCGGAGCGCGGCCGCGGGAGGAGGCGTGGGGCGGGCGGCCGGACGCCGAACGGCCGTTCACGTCGACGCGCTGACGTCACGCGCCGACGCTGGGGACGTACCTGTCGGGCGCCGGACTCCTGCGGCTTCTCTTCCCCTTCCGCGGGTCAGGGCTGGTCAGGTGCGGAACCCGCAGCCCCTTTGGAGTGCTAGTTCGCCGGCGGCCCGGAATCGGGCTGGGTCATGAGGCGGAAGGGCGTGGTGGGATGAAAGCCATTCCACACTACTCCTGGAGTTAGAGCACGGATTCGGTGTTAGTCTTGGGAGAGGGAAGTGAGGTTGGAGGTTTTTATTTTTAATTTTGGGTAGAAACAGGTTGACTCCAGGGCCCTCCGGAGCGAGAGGATTTAACTTAATGCTGCTCCCGCGTTCGAAGGCGGACAAAAAAAAAAGTCCCACCTGGCAAAATTTCTCTAATTACCTACTCTGTAGAGAAAGCCAGGTGTCTTAAGTCGCGCTAGTTTTCGTGGTGTCGGGCTTCGGGTGAAGCTCCCAGGGTAGCCAGGTTTAGGTGTGAAGCAGATGCAGAATCCAAAGGCAGCGCAAAAACCAGCCACCGATTTTGCTATGCCTCTGAGCTGCGAGGTGAGTTGCATCGTACGAGTGAAGGTTTGTTAGCTGTCAATGTTCACAGGTTTCCCGGTCACCTGTGAAGCCAGGGCTCTCATCTTGGTTTCTCATATATCAGATGTACCTACATCGTGTGGATAGGTACGTTATGAATCAGGATGGAAACGCATCCTGTTTATGTATTGTACCCTCCGACATTCTTTAAAATTTCACCCGTTTCCTTTAGGACCTTTGAAGCAAATGAAAGTGGGTTCCAGGAAAAGATTAATTTTGAACGTAGAGGTTTTACTTTCGCTAAATTTGCCCAAATCTAAAAATAATATTCTGTTGTTCTATCTTTAGATTTACATGTGTATATAAAACATTTTTGTGTATATATGATATTTGTGTTTTGATCTTGAACTTGTTGGATCAGAAACTACCATAGAATCTCAGAAATAAACTTTGCATGTGGCATGCTTTATTTGTATGGCATTTGAAAACTGTGGATCACATAAAAGATAATTACATATACATTATGCACATTAGAGGCCGATATTTGTTTTCTTTGGAAAAAATTCCTGTTTATGGGAATTGAATCAATAGTGACCATACTTTTTAAAATATATAACTCAGAAGTTCAGTTCTACAAATGTAAACTTTGAGTGATGCAGTTCATTTACTACATCACTGTGGCTTGTGTACTTTTTAAATATTTTCCCAAATGCTTTTCCTCTTATCTCTAGAGAGTTACTTTAAAAGATTATCTTCTTGATCAAGTCGGTATGGAAATAATTTAACTGTCAGTCAATTCTGCATGCCTACATGCACAACTGTATATATTTAGTTCTACAAAACAGTATATATTTAGTTCAAGAGTACATATGGGAGTTAAAATGCTTATGTATATATTGTCAACTTACATCTTAAAAGGTGCTGCTTGTTGTTTTGTTATATAGTATGGCTTAAAGACCATGTGTGTGACCTACAAGTATTTTCTCAAATGGAGTTAGCTTATATGACCTCTAGTTAACAGGGACAGCCTGTGTTGGCAGAATCTATCACAGGTTGCATACCCTTTCCATCCCTTACTTCCCCTCCACCTCAAAGACTTTGATACTTTGAGTTATTTTGTTTAACAGGTCAGTATGAATGTATAGTATCTACATCTTTACATGGAAATTGTGCATTAGCATGTGTTATTAGTTACACATACCTCATTAGGAATGTAAATATTTAACCTGGTTTTGGATGTGTATGGTTCAGGAGCACAGATTTGCTGAGGTTATGTGTTTATGCTAGTATAATAAATTGGCTGTTTTCCAGTCATGTTGGGGATAGGCTTCCGTTTCCTGTTGTGACATGTTGGTAATAATTTTCAGACCACTCAGGGAGCCAGATTTGATCTCTGTGGTCGGTCATATATCAAAGCAGTATCCTGTGGGGTTTGGCTACTAACAAACACTGCTTTGTAGAAGTTCCAGCTTAGTTTGTAGTCAAACTTGAATGCAGGGATCTAAAATGTATAATATGATGTAATAAGTGTTAATATTTATTGAGTGCATGGTATGGTTCAGGCTCTTTTCTAAGTAATTTTTGTGGATTATCTCAATTTTCACACCAACTCGATGAAGTAGGTACTTTCACTATTCCCATTTTACAGGTGGAGAAGCGGAGGCCCAGGGGATTTAATTAACTTGTTCAAGGTCCCACAGCATTAAGTTTCAAACTGAGCCTGAAGCCTGGCAGTATGATTTCAGAGCTCTGGCTCTCAATGGCTGTACTATACTGCAGTTTAGACTAGTCAAAGTGCTATAGAAAAAGATAGTATGAGAGACATGGCACCATGGATTCATTTATTTTTTAGTTAAAAAAGGAATGTAAAATTACAAAAGTATGGAAAATAGTGTTTTTAAAAGAAAAACTCATAATCTTGCTACTCTAATAAACTTTGTTTTTTATATGCACATTCACATCTGTACACAAACATTGTAATTATGATTCATTTGAATTTAAAGGTAAATCTTCAGTTAATTATAAAAAGGAGGACCAACCCCACTGCCCCAGTTACATTGCAGATTTGATCTGCAACTTTGGAACCCAGTTAGATATATTTCTTGACATTTCTATGGGAAATAGTTCAACAGTTTATGTCTTTTAAAATCATGAAAATTATTTGTCAAAGTCTCAATCTTCCACAGGATCTTTTTTATCAGATTAGTGTTTTGTCTTTCTATTTTGTTATTGTTTCAGCCTTATGTTTGTGTACTTTTTCCTTTGTCTTTTTAAAATCATGTAGCAACTCCTTAGGTTGTTTCTATGTCATGGCTATTGTAAATAATAGCATTTAACTTTTCAATGGTGTAGAAAGATTTTGTACGTGCATGTGTAAGAAATTTTCTTCAGAGAGCTATTTCTTTTAGCAGATTATTTATTACTTTTTGAAGAAAAATATAAAGCATAACAATTTAGACATACAGGTAACTGAGTGGACAGTAAGGATAAAATATTAAGTAATATTACTTTCAGGAGAAATCAGTTTCATTATTATCATTTTGTATGTGTTGGCAATTTGTATTAAAATAAATTATTTCTGTTTCAGTAAACCTGTGAGTCTGATTAGCAAACACTTCCACCCTTTCCTCTATTTGATCTTAGTCTTTTGTCTTTTTTTTTAAATAAGTCCTATTGTGTATGTGTCTTTTATTGTGATACTTCCTATGGTTCATGGAAGTAGATGGAGTTTAACAGTTTGCTCAAACATATCTCTACATATGATACAGTTTTTGCATTTTTTTGTATTACCAAAAATGAAAGAATACTAATTTTACCTACTTTTGGACAGCATTCAGTGACCCTGGCCTAATCTATAATAGGTCCTTTAGATATTGAATATCTCTAATGTCTTCCATAAATGCACTAGAAAATGAAATCACTGTATCTGAAGAAAGAAAATCCTATAAAATCTGTTTAAAATCAAATGAGTGTAGGAAGGATTAGTTTTGTTGATTTTACTTTGGTACTTTGAGGACTTGTTTTAAATCAAACCCTGCTCAGTGTTGATATAATTGGTAGACCACACTTAATTCCTATGTTATAGTAGTGACCTTTGTAATCTATCTTTTGTAATGTTTTAGATTCTGAATTTTCCTCAAATGATTCTGTAATAGACTGTCTTTGAGTTATTTGAGCTATGGAATTAACTTTCTTGAAAGCTATATACATACTTTTTTAGTGTGCTGCTTTACTATATAAATACTTTTCTCAGTATCTCATTAATTTGATACATCTCAAAATATTTAGAAGATTTAAAATGTGTATACTTTATATCTAATTTCTTTTTCCATTGACTTCAAAATAAAAGTGTTATCTGTGTATAGATAATTAGTATTAATTAGTAAATAGCTCTGCCTAATTTTAATTTAAGTACTGTACTTCCTGTTTTGTTTTGTAATTACTTGATTTAAAAAAGGAGAAAAGATCCTTCCCTCAGTATGAAATCAAATGGAAAAAAAGAATATGACACAAATTTCCATTGGGGATGCAACAGATCCAGCTGCCTGTTAGATAAATATTTCTGTCCAGATATCCTGGAATTATCACGTATGCAACATGTCCACCTAGTTTTCCCTCTGTACTCTTTTCCATCTACTTTCATTTATTGACTTCAATTTCTAGAAAGACACAAGTTTTTTCATTAAAATTTGAGAAATAAATTTTAGACATTAGTCATTGATGCTTACCTTTCACTTGCTCTCCATAAATCCAGATTTATTGATATTTTTTCTTTGTGACCCCTGAATATACATTCTTCTCTGTTTTCACTGTGGCTTTAGATCGTTTATTATTTCATATTGGAACAATTCCAAACTAAGTGGTATGCCTGCTGTCTTCAGTCTCCTCTTCTTGGTACATTTCTTGCACAAATGCAATTATACTCTTCTCAGAACCTAGCTTTGTTTGTATCATTTCTTTGCTCAACCTTCTCCACTTTCCTTTAATTTGGCATTCAAGTTCTTTGATGAGTAGGCTCTGATTTCTTTTTCTAGCTTCCTCTCTCACTCTATCTCTACATGAGCCTTAGTGCCTTGGGCTCCAGGCCAGCATTCCCAAAGTGTATTCTCAGAAATACTATTGTTACGTGGGCTTGAGGAGTCATTCCCTGGTAAAATAAATTTGAGAAATTTTTCATGTATTTTGTTTATGATAATGTTTACTACAGAACCTTTTTTGTACTGTTAGCCATTACAATTCTAGATGGGAATATGATGTATTGCCCAAACTTATTGACCATGAAACCTTTTGTTGGATTAGTATTCTGTGCACATAGTCACCTACAAATATTTCTGTTGTTTTCTCAGCTCCATAGTTTGACTCAAGCCATGAATTTTGCTTAGATATCCTCTTCTCCCATCTCTGCTTCATTAAAATCCTACTTACCTTTCGAGGACCAACTCAGGAGTGTCTGTTCCAAAGAAGTATTCTTATCCTCAGTCATAGTGGGATGTAGTCTTTGAGCTCTTATTAACAATTCTTGTGTTTTCTACCATGCACTACCTTTTATTATAGGGATAAATACTAATTTTTTGGAAGATATTATAGCATCTGTCTTGAGGACAATGTATAATAATTTATGCTCTAGTTTACTGAAAGCCTTAGGGCCTATACAAATATGATGGCATTAATACAATAAAAACTGTGTTTATATTTGTTAAAATTTTTGGTACATTGGTAGCTATTCCATAAACATTAGTAAATGAATATAAGTGATTGTGTTGAAATTCATTGTCACGTTTTGATCTGTTCTTTTTTTTTTTTTTTTTGAGACAGAGCCTCACTCTGTTGCCCCGGCTAGAGTGCCATGGCATCAGCCTAGCTCACAGCAACCTCAAACTCCTGGGCTCAAGCGATCTTTCTGTCTCAGCCTCCTGAGTAGCTGGGACTACAGGCATGCGCCACCATGCCTGGCTAATTTTTCTATATATTTTTAGTTGGCCAGTTAATTTCTTTCTATTTATAGTAGAGATGGGGTCTCG